TGTGATACCGGGTTCGATCCCAGCTGCGGGCCTTGCGCCCTGCGTTGGTCTTGAGAGTGGTATCGAGACCGTCCAGAAAGCAGTGCCAAACTACTGGATGTAAATTTGCCTAAAAAAACCACAACAGCCAAAAAATGCTGGGGTTGGTTCTGCAATGTTCTGTTAAGGACACGCAACTAACTAAACTTATACTGTCGAGTGTGACATAAAGATAATTCTTCAATCAATCAGGTGCCATCTTTACAATTAAGGTTGGCCGCAAAGGATCTTCAAAATGCTCTGTCTTTTGCCCTTGATGTAGACTCTTGCTGATTGCTGTTTGTCCATCTCTTGATGTTATCCTTCCAGTTATATCACTGTCTGCCTCTTGTTCCCTTGCCTGCAATTTTTCTCTCCAGTGTGCTTTTTATAAGAGTTATGTCTTTTAATATGGCTGACATAATTCACTTTTTTTCATTTTAAGAAGTTAAGAGTTCTACAGAGACAAGAAAAAACTCTTCACACCATTGGCACATCGGGCATAAAGTGCTACTAACATACCATTGTACACCAGCTGGTGAGAGTGGTCAAAATCTTCTTTTTCTAAGCATTCACCAGCTGTTAACTCCAGCAGAAAAGTTCTGGTTATTCACCAACTTCTGGGCTTATTTGTAGACTGTTGATTCCTCACCTCTCATATCACACAGAGGTGGTTGTGTCAAAGGCATAAAAAGGTCTTAATGCACTACAGATTATGGCAGCAATGGACATGGAGCAAAGAATGCTGTTCACACTTTACCAGCACTTAATCATCTCACTGATTATGGACTGGGTTTGCTCACTGTCTTGAAGAGTCAGCTAGTTAAACTGGAGCACATACAGAAACAGCATCCGTGGCTTAGGCGTTGCGAGTCTGACTCGTAATTCCAATGTACCGTGATCAAAACCCACTGCTGGCTGCATTGATTTTTATCATGGTATCATGGCGTCGCAGGTCTACCTAGCCTTAAGTGGGTAGAGAGCATACTTTGGATCTTTTCTCCAGGCCATGCAGACGTGGTGGGGAATAAACAGGCAGACAGACTGGCTGGATCTGCACCGCTGAGTGGTGAATTCATACATGACAAAGCTTGAATTAATACATGACAAAACAAATGTGGTCAGAGCTCTTTGGGAACAAGTAACGAAGTCAGAAGAGAAACTAGATAATTATGGGCTGGAGGGAATGATGTGCCTGGGTGTGACCAGAGGGTTCGGCTGGCACACTACGCTCAGAGGAAAGGCAAGACTTACATACAACCAGACTACGACTGGCACCATTAATAGTATTGGAACTCTGCACTGGCTGCTGTGGATGGGGACGGAGCATGTATGGGAATGCCCTTAGTGCTGCGATGTCTATTCTAGACTCAATTCCCCCAGCCCCCAGTTAGTCAACTTTTATTAATTGCTTGTAGGAGGCCCTGATACCTAGTTATACTTGGTTGACCGGTGGGGACATCAATTTTCAAAATCATTTTATATAATAGAAATTCAACATGACACCAACTATGCTACATAACAAACATTTAACAAAACACAAACTATATAATAGACATTTAATAAAACATCAACCATGTAATGGACATTCAACAAAACACCAACTTTATAGTGGACATTCAACAAAACACCAACTGTGTAATAGACATGCTAAAAAACACCAACTATGTAATGGAATGCAACAAAACATCAACTATGTGGTGGACATTCCACAAAACACCAACCATGTAACTGACATTCAATTAAACACCAACTGTATAATAAAATTCAACAAAACACCAACTATGTAGTGGGCATTCAACAAAACACCAAATGGAGGAGATTGGAGCACTCATGCTTATGTCTGATGTACAATGAAGATGATCTTTAAAATATACATTCAACAAAACAAAACACCAACTATGTATCAGGCACTTTAATCATAGTTTATTTTTCAAGATAATAACTGAAAAAACATCACACACACACAATTAAAATTGTATGCAGACAAACAGCAACCATCACATATTTATCGTTTTTATTTTAATATTCACACTGCAAATGCTATTGAAAGGAATAGCACTCTATACATATATTGCATAAAGATATCCTTCTTGGCCATTTCAAAACAGCAGGTGCTTGTATGGCCTATTTATCCGCTATCCTTTTATTCTGCAGTAATGTGTGAATCTCTATCAGTAATCCTAATCATTCCACTTGCCAACTACATGGGTAAACATCTTCTTTTTTGCGTGTCACTTGCCTCACAGTTCTACATCCTATTTAAATGTATTTATTCTTTACCATTTTTTAAATCATGCGTCTTCCTTACTTGGATGGTATTTTTTTTTTTTAAAGGGGGAGGGGGGTGTCTTGCACTAGCTCTCTAACAGAAAAAGACAGTCTAAAATTAGCCTGTATGGATTCAGGAGCCTCTCACAGGGATCTTCCTCTGCCCCCCCCCCCTCAAATAAATATGTAAAAGAGGACTAATTAGGACATCATCATCATCAGTTCTCATTATGCCTAGTGGCACATGAGGCTTCAGAGAGGACTTTCCATGCTTTCTGTCCTGAGCAATCTTCAGTGCAGTTTTCCATGTCAAAGATGCCGCACTCAGGTCACTTTTCATCGTTCGTCTCCATGTTTTTTTTGGGCGCCCCTGTTTTCTCTTTCCCTCTGGTGTCCATGTGAGAGCTGTTTTGGCGGGTATAACGTGGAAAAGCCATTTCTATTTTCTCTTGGTTATCATACTGTCTAAAGTTTCTTAATTTGTGACTTGAAGTAGTTTAGTGTTTGAGATTGTATCTGGCCAGAAAATTTTGATAATTCTACGTAGACGTGTGGTGGAAGGTGGACAGCTTGTGTGCATCCTTTTTTGTCATTCTCCAGCATTCCGCTCCATAAAGAAGAACTGGCAAAATGATGCTCTTGTAGAGTCGGAGTTTCGTTCCTCTGCAGTAATTGTTGGATTTCTAGATTTGCCTCATCCTTCCAAAAGCAGCTCTAGCTTTGTTCAGACATGACTGTATGTCCTCTTCGGTCCCTCCCGGCAGGGACACCACACTGCCAAGATATGCGAAATGTTCTACATTTTCAAGAGTTTGGTTATTTATGATCACTGGTTGTTGGTTTGGACTGTTTGTCATGATCTTAGTTTTCTTTGTGTTTATTCTCAGTCCCACCATTTCTACTGGGTAGTCTGTTACTTTTTTCTTGTATATGTTCATGTTTATGTGATAGGAGTGCTATATCATCTGCAAAATCTAGGTCCTCAAGCATGGTGAATGGAGTCCATCGTATGCCTCTCAATGTCCCGTCTACTGTGTTCTTTAGTATCCAATCGATCACAAGGTTGAAGAGGAGAGATGACAAAACACATCCCTGTCTTACACATGTCTTTCCCCCGTGTGGGTGAACAACCAGAACTTTCCACCAGAGTTTACAGATGGTGAACGCTAAGAGAAAGAAAAAGAATTAGATCTCTAAAAGAACAAGAGTGCAGAACTAGATCCAAATGGGCAAGACAGTATATGATCAACTTGCACTAAACATCATCAACTGACACTTTCATGAAGGAGAGACGTTTATACAGGACACATTCCTACACAATCACTTTAACCCTCAGCTCCATTTTCTAGACCTCCAGATGCTCTTCCCCAGAGCCCACAGTGCAAATGTCAAACTTACTAGCCCCTTCTCTAATCACCATCTCATTTATCCATGATCTCTTCCAATGAATGAATTCTGATTAAAAGTTCTTATCATCAAAGTGCTTCGTTATCTCGTTGCGTTTCTCTTGAATTTGCCTGGTTCGATCTACTATTCACAGCTTGTAATGTGTTTGTTTCATTGACTTTGATATTTGCACAGAAAATCCAAGTTCAAAGTTCATTAACTGTTTACTTCTGGGTGCACACATTTTTGTCACATTATGTCATTAAAAACAAACTGTAATGGGTCGACATTTTATGTACGAAAATGCTCAACAGTTTGCAGAAGTAATGCACAGATAAATCACTTTTGTGTGGAAATATTGTGTTCTCTGGACCAAATGGTTTACATGTCTCTGATAATGACAGAGGCTCTCAGTGCCAGTTTCAAGGCTCCATTTCTGGAGGACAAATTGACCTATGCCCCCTAAAAAGCAAGCTATATAAAAGATGAATAATTTTAGGATTACCCTAAATCAGCCGAAAAGCACAGATATCGCAGCCTACCTGTAAACTACAAGATAATGTGTTAACTATACTTTTAAAGGGGGAATGTAGAAGATGAAAGGTAAAGCGGAACTGAAGAACATTGTGATGATAGGAAAAGGAAGTGAAAGAAGATATAGAAATGGTGTTAGATGGTCCTAAACTGGGGCATGGAGAAATATCAATAAAACTGATCCAGAACATGTGGCCTGAGATCTGTTGAGGGCCAGGCACATGATGATGATGTGTCTGAATATCTTCAGAGATAAATCTTTCAAATCAACATTTACTGAACTAGTGTTCTTCACGTTCACCAGCTGTAAACTCCAGCAAAAAGTTCTTGCTGTTCATTCACCTCTGGATTTTACTCATATTCCAGAGCCAGACTGCACATCCATTTTACAGATCTGGCTTATTTGTATGCAGACTGCTGGTTCCTTGCCTCTCAGGCAGATGCGCTCCCAGCTTCAAAGGAAGCTTCCACATTTTATTGATTCCTACTACATGAATGTTCGAGAGGCAGAGGGTATGTTCTTGTTTTCCCCACAATAGGGCCCCGGAACCCACAAGGGGACTCTGGAGGGCAAGGTACATAATGATGATGATGATGATGCTTCAACATTTTCACAGATAAATCTCACAAATAAACATTTACTGAGCCAGTGTTCAGTCCAGCCGCATTATGACAACACCTTTCACACTCTTCTCGCTTGCCACATTGTCCGCATGCGATCTCTCATGTGCCACATTGTCCGCATGCACAACTCTCATCTCTCAAACGCCACATTGTCCGCACACAATCTCTCATGCAAGTGCAACTTGAGGACTCCCCTTTCTCTTATTATCATCACCCCCATCATCATCAGTATCTTCCTCCTCATCAACTTTCTTCTCTGTCTTCTTGTCCTCTGGTGAGTCTGCAGGAGGCAGAGGGTCAAACACTGGAACTTTGTAGGTTTTTATCAAACTGTCTCGAGGTGACATCCACTCTGGGACGATCTTGCCATGGATCCGCCACCGTCCGTTGGTGTCGGAGATCCACTTCTCCATAACCACATACTCCACTGCAGACTTGGGTAGAAGTGGGTCACCGTACATGAGGCGGCCAAATCGGTCATAAATTGCCAGGATCTAGGAAAATTGAGAAACCAAACACAAATTGAGATAAGTCATGTATTGAGCTATGTTCAAGGCGTCTGATAAGCTTCCATAAAGGGAAAAATGAACATATTTTGAAAGAAAACCATATCTATTTATGTAATATATCTATACGACTAACGTTGTTTTAAAAACATTTGTTTATGCAGGTCCTCCAGTGCTGAAGAACATGTATAAGCACAATTGGAGTTTTCTTCTTCTTCACGTTCACCAGCTGTAAACTCCGCGGAAAGTTCTGGGGGTTCATCCATCTCTTGTTCCAGAACCTGAGTGTTGCATGCACATCTGTTTTACAGATCTGCCTCATTGATATGCAGACTGTTGGTTGCTGGCTTTTCAGGCAGATGCACTCCGACGTCAAAGGAAGCTGCCATTTAGTCAACTCTTACATGCTTTTGGGTAGGCAGTGGGTCTATTCTTGTTTTCCCCACAATGGAGACCCCCAGGACCCGCACGGGGAAGCTGCAGTTATGCATGTAATGGTGTTGGTGATGTTTATTTTGCTACGTATAAAAAGTAAAAGGACCCTTTTCCAGGCCTTCAAGTGTACTGGGTATATAGGGCTAGACCTATATTTTATATACCAATCGGCACTTGTTGGGTGATGTGGTCAGCATCACGCCAGCCGCCTTTACTTCCCAGGACTGCACCTGATACCCACTAAAGGCTGGGTTGAACTTGGACAGGTCATTTTTGACAAAAGTCCGGCCCCTGTCAGGACCCAAACCCAAGAGCTTCCGATCCGCAGGTGAGCCGTTAGACCACAATGGCTCCCTATTTTCTAATGGATGGCTATCCCAAAAGAGACAAAAAGACAAATTATGCATGCAACTGTCATACCAGCCTTGTGTGGTCAATGTCAGACTCGAACACTGATCAAAGAACACAAAAGAAAACTAACCAGCTGCGAAATTAGATGTTTGAGAAAGGCTGTGAATTAAACTAGAAGAGATGTGAAAAACAAAGAAATTACTATTAGAACAACACCCATAATTAAATTCTTTAAAAAAAAAAAAGACTGAACTGGTTTGGTCATTTAATGAGAATGAATCCAATGATGCCAGCAAGTAGAGCATACAACATCAAAATAGAAACACCAAGAGGTAGGGAGCAACCAAGAAGGTCTGAAGGATTCACTGATACCTTGAGACTCCACAACATCACAGCATACCAGGCAACTGAGCATGCCCTAGCTGGGAAACTGATCATCTGTTAACCTGTGATGCTTATCAATACAAAGCAGAAAACAGACAAGAGAAGAAAGAAGTTGCTTATAGTGTCTTATTCTTGACGTCTTCTTTTACTGCTGTAGGTAATTCTTCCTTTTGGGGCTGCCCTGATTACAGACACATTGTACCTTCATAGAGTTTCACTGATGTTACCTTTTACTCTTGTTCCACCTCTGGGTCTATTTCCCTCCCCTCTTTTGGTGTATGCCTTGTATGGTTTAGCATCACAAGGACATATAACCAGATTGTGACCAGTACCATCAGTATTGGAACTCTGTGCTGGCTGCTGAAGATGAGGACGGATCATGCATGGTAATGCCCCGAGTGCTGTGATGTCAATTCTTGACTCAACTCAACTAAACTCAGCATCACAAGGCATACTTGTTAAGTGGACAAACCATTTTACCTGCTCTCTTTGCCTGTAATATAGATATGGTTATGTGCCAACTATTTCTCTTATGAATTCATCCTGATTTCATCACTTCTGGTCACTCCTGCAGCCTTTCTCACACACCTCCAACAGTGTGAATCTTACCTCATCTTGATCCTCTGGTACCTTGCGGTGTCGAGGTAAAGTATCATTTAAGGAAAATGCATGTTTGTGTGCTTCATAAATAGGGATTCCCGGGAACTGTGTTATTCCTTTAGTCCATCGTTTGCACAGTCAGCCTCTTCTTCGGTTCCCACCTGGTCTGTACATCACTGCTTGCTGTCGTATGCTATTTGTTGACCCTGCATTATATGACCAAACCATTTCACATGTTGTTTTCTAATGGAATCTAGAGCTGCCGCTTCCCCTCACAGTGTGAATCACACAGATTTATGTCTGTAAGTTTTCAGGTGAGCAGCAATATTAGCACACATCCCTACCTGTTTGGTGTGCAGGCGCACCGTGACCTGGCAAAACAGGTTATCTGACGTGATCATGGTCTCGGTGCGAACCTGCACCACTCTGGCAGGCTCCACGGTTTCAACCAGTTGCCAGTGCATGGTCTTGTTCTCAAGGCCATGCACCATTTCCTGCAATAAATACAAAGTTTCTTTAGCATGTTTTCCCAAACTGTTAGAAGTTTCAAATTGGGGTTCACGTCATACATGCAATGTTTATTTGTTTGTGTTCATCAGCTGGGCGGACAGTCCTCTGTGTTTGTCCATAGACCTAGACCTTAGCCTTGGCCAAGGTCCTGAGTTTTGCTTGTGCACCCGTTTTACAGATCTGGCCTAATTTTATGCAGACTGTTGGTTCCTTGTCTCTTAGGCAGATGCACTCTCTTAATTAGTCGCTGTGCTTGTTAAGGAGGCAGTGGGTCTATTCTTGTCTCCCCTCTCCCCAACTGGGCCTTGGAATCCACATGAGGGATACGTGAAATGTGGTTAAAATTTTATGTCATAATTTTTCATAAAATGGGTCTTATACGTGGGGACATCTTATACGTGGGGACATCTTATATATAGGGGTAATCTTATATACATGGTGACATCTTATACACGGAGGTGTCATTTAGAATACAAATGTTTGCACATGCATGTAACAAATTCTGTCCTGTCCTGCCAAAATATAATTTCATCTCCCTGCGCAAGTTCTGAGCTCCATTGTGGGGAAAACAAGAATAGACCCACTGCCTGCCAAAAGTGTGTTGTATGATGAAGTAAATGGGGGCTTCCTTCGAAGTCAGAGTACATCTGCCTGAGAGACAAGGAACCAACAGTCTGCATGCATATGAGTCATATATGTGAAATGGATGTTTAAGCAACACTCAGTTTCTAGAATAGGACTCTTGAGTCCAGAAGTAGACTAACAACCAGAACTTTCCGCCAGAGTTTAAAGCCGGTGAACCCGAAGAAGAAGAAGAAGACGAAGAAATGAAGTATTAGCCATGTTATGATGAAATTCCTCTTCCTCTTCGGGGGCACAAGCACATACAAAATTATATCTTCGTCTTCTTTATCTTTTGTCCGTTCCAGATTGACGCAACTGTAATGTACCTATTTATAGCTGAAGCATCAGCCCCTTTTGGCCGATACATCTGACTTCTTCAGGTATTTGTTTTCTGAGTTCAAATAAGTTAATATACTTTCTATAATCAGCTGTTAAATGTTTTCCAGTTTTCTCTTCTCCATGCATAGCCAAAAAATGTAAAGCCACTCTTTCGGATGATTCTAAATAAGTTCTTTACATTTTAAAACATTACTTTTTTTTTGCGTGTTGTGCTATCCAAGACATTGTCAGCATTCTTCAGTAAGTGTGACATCTCTTAGGTTCTAACTGATGTTGTTTTGCTTACTATTTTTACTATATAACTCGTTCTATGCAGCAGGCTAGAATTTCTTAAATAACTTCCATGAACGGGGAAATATTCCATTTAGTGTTTATGTTATAAAATTATGTTTTTACTTGTGCAATTCTATTCTTTACATCTGTGATACATCTGCTACGTGAGGTTAACCAGACTTTATTGTGACCCTAATACTTACTTACTTACTTAGTCAATCCTCTTCTACCATGGAGTGTAGACATTTGCCAGAGAGAGATCGCCAGACTTCTCTATCAGCAGTTTGCTAATACCTACTTACTTACTTAGTTGCTCTTCTACCTTGGGGTGTAGAGGCTTGCCAGAGAGATCGCCAGGCGTCTCTATCTGCAGTTCTCTTTCTGGCTTTGTTCCACTACAGTCCTCTGTCAGTTAGGGACTGTCGGATGTTGTCTTCCCAGCGCATCCTGGGTCGCCCTGGAGCTCTGGTTCCCTGGTTCTTAGCCTCCCATGCCTGCCATGGTGGCCGATTTTCTCCCATTCTGCATACTTGTCAAAACCATTGTATTGTGACCAATCCACTTGGGTTTGTAAGGACTGGGTATCAAGATCTTGACGCATTATCTGATTGCGAACTTTGTCCCTTCTTGTCACTCGGACCACCTTTCTTAGATATCTCATTTCTGAGATCTGAAACTGGTTTCTGTGAGCTGCTGTCATTGCCCATGACTAATTAATACCACATTAATTGTCTGTTTGGACATAATCTTTACTTGTGCTTCCCTAATGCTTGAATTCACCTGTATATTTTGTATGTTTTGTTAGAAGTTAAAATATTGGGAATTTTTAAAGAACTTACCGGAAATGCTTTTTCTGTAACCAGTTCATGGAGCCTGTCCTGATTCTTGTAAATACTGAAATAGAAATTAGATGAAACTGTGAAAGCTGCTTCTTTTATTTTTCTTCTTCTTTTTTAGACCTATTCTGCCCTTCCAGCGGCAGGATCTGAAGTGGCATCATGTGTGAGCCATGGTATTTTTTACCTAGATGCTAGCACTCTGAATGACGGCTGCATTCTCTTGATTTCTTTTCTATATTCGTCATATTTCCTTTATAAGTGAGAATTTTTCTAACAATGCAGGAAATGGTAACAGCGTCTCTCTGGTGGTGTTTGCTCTATTTCATTTGTTTCCTTATCAGGGAAGGAAAAGTTTTCGTCAATGCAGGAAACCAGACAGCTGTTTTCTGTTGCTTTTTTAAATATTCTGTTTCCTATAAGTATGCACGTCAGTTCCCCAAGGGAAGACGCAGTAAACAGAAAAAAATGGTCAACTGCAGAACATAAAATTGCTTAGAAAAACCACACCCCAAAAAATAAAAGTCAGTTGGAACCAAATCCCAGGATATGCTCATCAGCCAAGCAGTTTTCTGCCAGTGCAGAGACATCTTCCTAAAATAAATTACACCGAAGTGTTTTGTCAAACCTGTGGCCAAGTGCTTGCATCTCAACATACATTTAAACTGACTGATTTCCCTAATCTTTGATGGCCTCCAGTCTACCTGCAAGGAGGCAGGGTTTTGTCCTTATCCCTTTATCTGTGTGAAAAACATGAAATGTGACTAGAAAGTTCAGTAAAAGGAAAGGAAACACCTCACAAAGTTGGGCCCAGGGAGACCGTGACTGGCCGTTCATTCATGCGTCTTAACCTTTAGGACGTATTAGTCTAAGTTAAAGGGGTATGAGTTTGTTTTCTGCTATGTATATGTTGGCGGACAGACAGGTACGTATTGTGTTTTACTTGCTGTTGTGAGTGATTGTGTAAAATATGACGCTCTGGGATTTCAAGTATGCAGTGAAATTATTTCAATTGTCACTGCTGGTGGCCGACAAGGAGAGCAGCGTTGCTTTTATTTGCGGCCCCACTGCAAAATGTAAACACTTCTGAAACCACGGCATGTAGGATGCGGTGTCTTGTGGGACGTAGGCTGAGCCTGTGGGTAAAGGGGAAGGGGGTGCGAGCAGGGCCAGTTCTAGATATTCTGGGGTTGTTAAAGCGGGTCACATCCTGTAATATAGAGCACGTGTGATCGCCAGTCAAAGTGTTGACAGAGTTCAACCTGACACCCCTTTAGTTTAGACTAACACGTCTCAAAGGTTAATATGCATGAATGTACGGCCAATCATGGCCTCCCTGGGCCCGGCTTTGTGAGCTGTACCAATGAAAGAGATACAGACAAGACTGAGAAACATATACTCACGGGTAGAAAAAGGGAAAGCCGAATAAGACTAAGACAGCTCTGATCTCAAAGTTACAGAACTCAAGATCAAATATCTCTGAATAAGATATCTCTAAACTCCAGTGTATTAGGAGTGTTCATCAGAAACCCTTTCGTGCCCCCCTGCTTATAGCTGAGTGTGTTCAACATGATCCTGATAGAATCATGTGAAAAGCACCGACCAACTAATAAAATAGCATGTGTCCAAAGAGTAGTGATTCAGTCTGGGTCATTTGAAGGATGCTGACCAGTAGGCATTGACTGAAAAATGCTGGCAGTTCTAGTTGTTCGTCAACTTCTGGACTTTAGTCTTATTCCAGAAGCTGAGTTTTGCAGTGCACATCCGTTTTACAAATTTGGCTTATGTGTATGCAGACTGCTGGTTCCTCACTTTTCCAACAGACACACTCTGACTTAACAGGAAACACTCCTAATTAGTCCACTTCTACAACATGCTCGTTGAGGGGCAGCGGATCTATTCTTGTTCCCCCTATAATGGGACCCCGGGACCCACGCTGAAAGATTGTGCGCACAGTCCCCCTCAGAAGTGTACAGTGTTCGATGTAATCAACTTACTCTCCCAACAAAGACTGGGCCTCTGTGACAATTTTCTGGGCCTCTACTGCAAAGTCAGACTCCACAAAGTCTTCATATTTCTTCAATTTACGCAGGTGCTTCATGGACTTCGTTCCTTTGATCATACGTGAAACCGTGTCAGACAGTTTCTGCAATAAAGGATAACAAAAGGATAACTTTACTGCTATATGGGTATAAGAAATGATAACAATTACTGCCATAAATTACTAGAATGATATTACTGCCACCACATATACAAGGAGTGCCGCTATAGTGTAGCGGTTAGACGCTCGCTTGCGGATCCAAAAGTTGTGGGTTTACATGCGGATGTTGCTGGACTTTTTGTTTTAAAAAATGACCTTGGCTTCCAGGTTGACCAGCCTAAAATGGGTACCAGGTATAAAACCTGGGAAGTAAAGGCAGCCGACACGATGCTGAGGAATCACCCATCGATTGGTCTATAAAATATAGGTCTAGCCCTTTATGGCCAACACGTTTGAAGGAGTGAAAAAAGGGTCTTTTACTTGACATTTACAACAAACGGTAACATTACTGCCACATATGTACAATGAATGATAACATTTTTGCCATACATGTACAACAAATGATACATGTTATCCATTACATGTACAACAAATTATAATGTTATCCAACATATGTACAAAAGTGCCAACAAACTGGTACCCGAAAGTGTTCTGAGGAGTAAAAGCTGGCTGATGTGATACTTCTTCTTCTTCTTCATTCATCCGAAAATGTAAATGCACTGTGCCGGTTTACAGCATGGCTGTGATATTTGCATCTTTCTGCCGACACAACCGACTTCTGCAGGCATTTGTTGACCGGATTAACCTTTCTGGTTAGCTTGTGCTGATGTAATACTGACCATACTCTCCCTCCAGTGCAGACTGGTTTATAAAAATATCTGGTCAGTTTCTCAGGTCAAAAAGCAGCATGTTGACCACAGCACCCAAAGAGCCGACTGGATTACAACAGTATGGGTCTAGCATCATATGCCGAATTACCACTGGCCTGAAAAGGGTCACCATATACCTAAAAGCAAGGGTGATTTACTTTATTACTTCACAAAACTCTGCATTGGAGAGAGGCACTGGAGAATTTTGTGATGCCTGGAAAGATCAACGGTGAAAGAGGCAGAGGAAGACCCAAGAGAGACGATGCCTGATGGCCTGAAGCAATGGCATGGTGGAATATCATTAGTGGAACTGAGTGTTCTTCTTTACGTTCACCAGCTGTAAACTCTGGCAGAAGCTTCTGTTGTTCTTTATGTTCACCAGCTGTAAACTCTGGCAGAAGCTTCTGTTGTTCTTTATGTTCACCAGCTGTAAACTCTGGCAGAAACTTGTGTTGTTCTTTATGTTCACCAGCTGTAAACTCTGGCAGAAGCTTGTGTTGTTCTTTATGTTCACCAGCTGTAAACTCTGGCAGAAGCTTCTGTTGTTCTTTATGTTCACCAGCTGTAAACTCTGGCAGAAACTTGTGTTGTTCTTTATGTTCACCAGCTGTAAACTCTGGCAGAAGCTTGTGTTGTTCTTTATGTTCACCAGCTGTAAACTCTGGCAGAAACTTCTGTTGTTCTTTATGTTCACCAGCTGTAAACTCTGGCAGAAGCTTCTGTTGTTCTTTATGTTCACCAGCTGTAAACTCTGGCAGAAGCTTCTGTTGTTCTTTATGTTCACCAGCTGTAAACTCTGGCAGAAGCTTCTGTTGTTCTTTATGTTCACCAGCTGTAAACTCTGGCAGAAGCTTCTGTTGTTCTTTACGTTCACCAGCTGTAAACTCTGGCAGAAGCTTCTGTTGTTCTTTATGTTCACCAGCTGTAAACTCTGGCAGAAGCTTCTGTTGTTCTTTATGTTCACCAGCTGTAAACTCTGGCAGAAGCTTCTGTTGTTCTTTATGTTCACCAGCTGTAAACTCTGGCAGAAGCTTCTGTTGTTCTTTATGTTCACCAGCTGTAAACTCTGGCAGAAGCTTCTGTTGTTCTTTACGTTCACCAGCTGTAAACTCTGGCAGAAGCTTCTGTTGTTCTTTATGTTCACCAGCTGTAAACTCTGGCAGAAGCTTCTGTTGTTCTTTATGTTCACCAGCTGTAAACTCTGGCAGAAGCTTCTGTTGTTCTTTATGTTCACCAGCTGTAAACTCTGGCAGAAGCTTCTGTTGTTCTTTATGTTCACCAGCTGTAAACTCTGGCAGAAGCTTCTGTTGTTCATCCACTTCTGGACTTTATTTAGACTTGCTCCAGAACCTGAGTGTTCTTCTTTACGTTCACCAGCTGTAAACTCTGGCAGAAGCTTCTGTTATTCATCCACTTCTGGACTGAAGTCAAGTTTCAGAACTTGAGTTTTGCTCAGACTTTGAAAGAAAACCCTTACTACTCGACTCTTATGACATGCTTGCCAGGGAAGCAGTTGGGTCTATTCTTGCTCTTCCAATAACAGGGTCCCAAACCTGAGTGTTGCATGCAAATCAGTTTTACAGATCTGACTTATTTGTTTGCAGACTTTTGGTTTCTTGTCTCTCAGGCAGATGCACTCTGATGAAAGTGCCCCAATTAGTCAACTCTTACAAATTAATCTACTTGAATTTCTAGTCAGGACTAAGACCAACCACACCTCAAAACACCTCTTCTAGGGGGTTATTGACCTGACAGGAGTTCCGGTTAAAATGGACGCTAGACAGCGGCGCTGTTTGGAGCGGAGGCAAATTTTTCCGGTCGTGCAATGCTGGCGGGACCCGTATTAAAATTGATCGCGCGGGCAACTGCTGATCTGTTGGCGACAAGTTCTATGATCAATGATGAACTACATTTCTAATGTTGGACTGTTTGTGTTAGCACTTCGGATGGCTACCATATGCGTTAATGCGAGTGTATGCTAGATATGCTGAGACAGCAGTCTGTCAATCTTTCCACAAGGGACTGTGATAGACATTCTGAGTGTTTTTCGCTGGCACAGGAGCAGAGCAAAGATGGGGCCACCCGTTTGCTATGAAGCTGAAACTAAGACTACCAGACTACCAGACCAGACTACCAGACACCTCAAAACATTCATTCATGTGAATTTACAATCAAAACTAACAACATTCCGGCCTCGTAGAATTCATGTAAAACTTACAGCTGTAGACAGAAACGACTGTTTCCCATCTCCTTCTTGTGGCTTGAACGGATCGATGATAGTTACTGAAATCACATAACAGTTAAGTATTTAACAATACTTTTGTAGTGTTATGGGTGTTTTCAAAAATGACTTTGGCTCCCAGGTCAACCCAGCCTTTCTTCCCACCCCTCCCCCACGTATGGGTTCCAGGACCCCATTTTGAAAAAAAAAACTGAGTAAACCCACTGCCTCCCCAACAAGCATGTCATAAGAGTCGACAAACTGGGGGCTTCCTTTGAAGTTGGAGCGCATCTGCCTGAGTGGCAAGGAACCAACAGTCTGCAAACAAATAAGTCAGACCTGTAAACTGGATGTGCACGCAACACTCAGGTTCTTGAACAAGTCTACAGTCCAGAGGTGGCTCAACAACCAGAAATTTCTGCAGGTGAACGTGAAGAAGAAGAACCCAGCCTTGAATGGGTACCAGGTGCAGTCTTGGGAAGTACAGGCTGACCACATCACCCACCGAGTTCCGAATGGTCCATAAATATAAGTCTAGCCCTATATGCCTGAAGGCACAAAAGAGAGTCCTTTACTTTTTGTTAAATTTTTTTTAAAACCTTTTTGTAGTGTTATTTCTCTCTTGCTGACAGCTGACAGATAACCTGATGTAAGTTCACTCTAGATATATGCTGATCTTTGGGAATCAGTATTTTCTCCTCCTGTACTTTTTTTTTTAAATCACTCTGCATCCCTATCTACTATTCTCATCCGCCTTCTCTCTATCACTCTCCTCCCTCGCATTTTCCTCATGTCTATTACTCTCCCTCCCTCATTCCCTTTCCCTCTCTATTACTCTCCCTCCCTTATCCCCTCTCTTTCTATTACTCTCCCTCCCTCATCCCCTCTTTATTACTCTGCCTCCCTCATCCCCTCTCTATTACTCTGCCTCCCTTAATTCCTCTCTCTCTCTATTACTCTCCCTCATCCTCCTCTCTCTATTACTCTCCCTCCCTCATCCCCTCTCTCTCTATTACTCTCCCTTCCTCATCCCCTCTCTCTCTCTCTCTATTACTCTCCCTCCCTTATCCCATCTCTCTCTATTACTCTTCAGCAGCAAGCGAAGAGTTCTAATTCTGATGGACCAGTAACCGTCTGATATATATCCACCTCATCCTTCCCCTGAGTGTTCAGCGTCGGCTAGTCCCCTGATAACTCCTTTCCGCACCATTCTCCTTAGACCGTAATGATTGACCTGCGTCTCCACACTGTTCACTCACCCCCAAAGGGCCCTCACAACATCTAAGTTGTCATACATCATCAATTCACCACCAAGTGGTACAGAGCCAGCCAGTCTATCTGCCTGCTAATTTTCCAACACACCAGCATGCCCTGGAGAAAATATCCAAAGGATGTTAACTACCCGGGACCTCTGAAGTGATGCTTGCCACTCTGCAAAAAGCATGCCTGTTTTCACTTTTCTCAACATGCTCTGTGAGTCAGTTACAATCACGGCATGTGTGTACGGCTGATTCTCAAGCCAGCGGAAGGCAGCAGTGACTGCCTCCATCTCCATTCTCAAACTAGACGTTGTGATATCGTATGCAAGATTTTGCTGCACTAGGCGACGTCCATTCGCCTTTACTATGAAACCCAATGCACTTTGCCCCTCAACACAGAACCATCTCTATAGATAATCACATCACTTGGGCGGGAATTGTCATGAATCAGTTGTTGAACTTCTGAGCTGCAGCACCAGCTCCTCAAAGTGATTGTCTGTTTGTTAAATGGACCAACCACTAGTGGCAACACATTGTGGGGGGGGGGGGGGGGGGGGGGGGGGGGGCATAGGACTCACAGTCCATGGCAAAGGTGGGACCAAGACCAGTTTAGCAGCATGATCCCTCCCTCGGCCCCCTAAATTTACTCCAAAGGAAAGGTAAAACTGCCAGTGGAACTAGTTATCTTTATGGCTTACGTGTGCTGGATATGTTGAGTGGTAGATACTGAAATATCCGAGGTGGAAGTCTTCCCTCTTTCTTCATCTCCATTCGAAGTTCGTCTGTTGTTTTCTTTTCTTTTGGTTTCTCTGACTTCAGCTCCACAAATTTCGGCAGGTCAATCTGCAAAATGTAAAGTCGCAAAATGAATAAATATAATGAAGGAAACAATCAAAGTGATCATCAACTGAGTTGCGTTATTGTTTTGTCAAGCCTGTGGGCTCAATCCATCAGATTTTGGCTAGCATTTTTTTCTGTGTATGGATTTTTCATTTCATAAGAATTGTCGCCGCAGCTACAGAGCACTTGCTCTACGCTTGACGTCATCTTCAGCGAGCAGCAAAGAGAGAGTGAAGAGAAGAAAATGAGGAAATGATGAGAGAAGAAAGCAGAGAAATAACCAGATTGTATCTGGTACCATCAGTATTGGAACTCTGCGCTGGCTGCTGAAGATGAGGATAGAGCACGCATAGGAATGTCCCAAGTGCTGTGATGTCAATTCTCAACTCAACTCAGCTAAACTCAGCTAAACTCTCCTTTTTCCTGTGTTTTAATTAGTCCCCAGAACCCACACAAGGAAATGCAGCCAGGACAATTCTCTAGGAACTTTTCTGCAATCTGTTAGCCTAATTGACACATGCGCAGTTATATCGTCCAGAAAGCAATGGCAAACTACTGGACATAAATTTGCCTAGAAAAACCACACAACAGCCAGGGGCTGTTAGGGTTGGTTCTGCAACGTCCTGTAAAGTATACGCAACTAACCTAACCTAACAGTTATGAAGCAGACAGGTATAACCTGTATGCTTGTTTACTCAGTCAATTTTACAAACTGTATTTTCCTGAAAATAAGAACGGGTCTTATATTAATTTTGTTCAAAACGATGCTTTAAAGTTCATTTCAGGGGGTGTCTTTTCTTTGTCATGTACAGGGAGGGTAACTAATTGGAGGTTTATTTCGAAGTCAGGGTGCATCTGCCTGACAGGCAAGGAATCAATAATCCACATATAAATAAGCCGGATCTTTAAAAATTCTTCTTCTTCTTCGCATTCACTAGCTGTACACTCTGGCGGAAAGTTCTGGTTGTTCGTCCACTACTGAACTGCAGTCCTGCTCCAGAACCTGAGTGTTGCGTGTGCATTAGTTTTACAGATTTCATTCTCTTGAATACAGACTGTTGGTTCCTTGCCTCTCCGGCAGATGCACTCCGACTTCAAAGGAAGCTCCCCAATTAGTCGACTCTTACGACATGCTTTTGGGGAGGCAGTGGGTCTCTTCTTGTTCTCCCCACAATGGGGCCCTGGAACCCACATGGGGGTCTTTAAAACTGATGTGCATACAACAGTCAGGTTCTAGAACGGCACTTAAGTCTGGAGGTGGGCAAACAAAGCTTTTACAGCCGATGAATGAGAAGAAGACAGAAGAAGTGTTGAAACCCACACCAAGTCAGAGTTTTCTAACTGACCTTGGCTCCTAGGCTGACTACACCAAAATGAATACCAGGAAGTGTCTTGGGAAGTAAAGCTGTGTTACCATATTCCCCTTCAAGTGCTGAATGGACTAAACAAATATGAGTCACACATTAGGTGCCTGATGCAGCCAAGGGATGACCCTTTCATACTTTATGCTTGAAAGAACACCAGCATCAGAAATATCTGGCAATATAAAAGACAGAAGACTGTGGACAAATACAATGACCAACGCCACATCCATTTTTGAAAAACAAACAAATCGACCATGTTCAACCTACTGCAAGTAGTATCAGTTACAATTGTGGTCCTTTTTTTTTTTTTAAATAATTATATTGATTTTTTTTTTTTGTTAACGCCACATGACATTATGCATTGTAAATACACCTAAAGTACCTTCAGCTCTTGTTTCTTCCCGAGAAGTGGAAGAAGATCAGCATCAGAAATGCTTGGCAATATAAGAGATACACAAACTAATGTGGACACAAACAACAACCAACACCACATAAACAAAATACATTTTAATAACACCTAAAGTGACATGTACCTTGAACACTTTTTTCTTCCGGAGAAGTCTCCACTTCATGTCGTAATGTTTTGAAGTTGGGTACCCCCTGCTGTGCTGCTGACCCTGGCAGCCCACATTTGGCACAAGAAACGCCCCCGCGGGTCTCGTCAAAGTCTGTCGCAATATCAAATAGACAATATTAAAGTTTCATAAAATAGAGACAATTTTATTATGCAGTAACAAAAGGAAAGATGTAGGGAAAGAAAGGCATCATGCTATGGCTGCCTCCCCGTGTTGGTTCCAGGGGTACCATTGTGGTGGAAAAATTTAATAGAATAGACCCACTGCCTCCCCAAGAAGCAAGTCGTGAGAGTCGATTAATTTGGGGCTTCCTTCAAACTCGGAGTGCATCTGCCATGGAAGGCAAGGAACCAAGTCTGAACACAAATAAGAAAGATCTGTAAAACTAATGTGTACATAAAATACAAGCTCTGGAACATAATGGATGAAATATCAGAACTTTTTGTTGGAGCTTACAGCCAGTGAATGCGAAAAAGGAGAAGATAAGGTTGCCAACAACTGTTACAACAACAAGAAAAAAGCATGCCATACATAAATCATGTGATAGCCTATTGCAATATAAAACAGACAAATTACTATTCAAAGGAATGGGAAACTGCAGTTCTAAGTGATAACAGGAATGCTCGATGGGTAAAAAAAACCAATATGGTATATCTGCGAAAAAACTCAGCTGCAGTCGTTTCAAGACCTATTGCAATAGTAAATAGACAACAAACCAGAACAGGCAGTGTGTTCAGCGAGGATGGAGGATTGGACAGAGAAATAGAAAAGAGAATACGGAAGGCCAACAACATAAATTACCAAACTGCCACACTTTTAAGGCATCAAAATATCAACATGCACCCACAAAATCAGCTGACAAATGCGCTCCTGTACAACTTTGTGCTGTCAATCGCACATGGACAGTACTAGAAAAACATTAATGCAAAATTACAACATATGGGATTAAATGTTAAAGCAATTATGTAGGAAAAATAAGAAGAGTCAGAATCAACAATGAAGAACTGAGAACAATGGTGGGCACAGTACTGGTAAATGATTTCACAGAACATCAAAGAATCAAATGGTTTTGTCATCTGGTCAGAATGGAAGAAAATCGACCAGCAGCTAGAGCATGTTATATGAGAACAACAGGCTACAAGGTAAGAGGCTGACCAAGACAGGCACGGGTGGATGGAGTAAAAGAGACACTACAGAAACGCAATATAACATTAACACAAGCTACACAAGTGGCAAAAGACAGGAAACTACATGCAACTCCTCTCTGCAAGAATTCACAGCATAAGGAGTAAGACAAAAGACCACAGCCCTTTAACCAACATGTTGTCTCCTTCTTCGCCATCACCGGCTGTAAACTCTAATGGAAAGTCCTGGTTGTTCATCCACTCCTGGCCTTTGGTCTTTATCCAGAACCTTTTACTTGCACTTCCATTTTACAGATGTGACATCAGTGTGCAGACTGCTGGTTTCTTGCTTCTGACTTCAGAGTTAGTTAGTCTTTTCTCTATTACTTCTTTTTAGACATATGTCTATTTCGTCCTCAGGGCAAAATGTTTAGTTATTTGAAGCCCTATGGCTCTTGCCACGGGCCATAATTATGGCCTAAAGGCTGAACGCGGTTTCTGGGACCTCTCCATGGTGATCCTCACCCACATGGTGGCACTTTGAGTCATCGGGTGTTTATCGCTTGTGTGATGTCCTGGTGGGGTAGAAAGTCAGTCAGTAGTCTTTCCTCTTGAGCCTAAGAAGATGCATGGGGCACAGCTCTCCATGTCTAGGGGCTCATTACCACCTGATTTAGGTCTTGGATATTCATTAGGCCCCTAGTTGAGCCTTCCCTGATGATGGTTCTACGCAGAGTCTCTCTTGGTCTTCACCGTGTTCTTTCCCCTTCTCGTGTCCATATGAGGGTTTGATGGGGGAGTCTTGTCTTATCCATTCTGAGTGCATGGTCGATGTAATTCCAGCGGCACTTTCTTATAAAGTTTGATACATTTTCTTGCTTGGTCTCTTGCCTTATTTGCGATTTGGATCTGAAAACTGTCCAGTGGAAATTCAGTATTCTAATAAGACATCTGTTCTCAAAAATTGTATAATTTTTTTATCAAGAGCTACATTGCTTTCCAACTCAGACATCCATAAGTTAGCACTGGAATCATACAAGAATTGAAGATCTTAAGTTGTATGTGTTTGCTGAGTGTCTTTGACTTCCAAACATTTGACTGTTTGGACTTCAGAGTATATATATACTTTCACTTAATTCACCAATTCAGGTATTTTGGTGGGGCGAAGTGGTTGATAAGCCGTTTCCCTCACACTCTGAGAATCGTGGGTTGGTCACAAACCGTCTGTAGTACTAATAGTTTTCAGTTTCATATCATATGGCACTGACCACTTTTTTCGGTTCAGGGGTGCAGTTGAGTTTAGTTTCACAACCGGACAACCGAGTTAGTGAAGATTTCCGGGAATCGTCGTCGGGGCTACGGAGTTGGTGCTCTGAGCAAAGAAACATATGGGATAAAACTTGGAGAAATGAAGTCGATCCTCTGTTATACTGTCACTTACGACTTACACATATTTGCAGCCTGAGTACCCTTGGAACGATAGCCGCCATCTTGTGCTTTAATGTAATAGGCCGGTTCCTGTTCGTGCAATCGTAAATTGCATTTTATCTCAGAGGTCCATCATTATCATTATCATCATCATCCTCGTTGAATCAAGAATCGACATCACAGCACTCGGGACATTCCCATAAGCGTCTTGTCCCAATCTGCAGCAGCAAGCAAAGGGTTCCAAATTGGATGCCACCAGCAACAGTCTTGATTGTGATTGTTTTTCGTCTAGTCTTTCATTTAGTTAAAGTCAAAGTTAAAAGTCGAGAAGACCGACTTCATAGCACAGGTTTTCGTCTCCATGTTGTTTTTTGGACATCCCTTCTTTCTCTTTCCCTCTGGTATCCATGTGAGAGCTGTTTTGGCAGGTATATCGGGATTAATTTTCATAACAGTGGTAAAGATAATCGGATCACCTAGGCGCGAATTGTTATAAATAATTTGTTGAACTTCTGATTCGCCAGTCCCTGCACTCTCGACTAAGCGTGATTAGAGCCCTACATAAGTCTGATTGTTGCTCGGACCAGTTCGACGTCACCAAACTGGGCAAACGATACGCTAACGCAACGTTTCTCAAACTTTTTTCGTAGGGCAAAAATAATTTTCGCGACACACCTACCATTAAAGCTGTTTGAATACTTAAGATAAGAAGAAGAAGAAAACATTGCAAATTTTATGTCAATATACAATACAGGTACCTCGGTTTGCTTTCTCTGTTGATGTTTCGATCAATAATTGTGAGGCTTGGGATATCAGATCTTACAATTCTAATGTCCAGAGAGCACAATAAAACAACCGCATTTTCTGGGTTAATGACAGCACCCATTTCTTCACACCAGTCAGGGCAGTTGTCTACAGTTGCATCTAGCTCCTGGACTTCTGTTGTCAATCGCTCGCCTGCCTATACGCAAGAACCTCATCTGCAAATGTCAGGGTCCTTCCAACCACTGGTGCTTCAAGTTCGGCAATCTTGCTTGTATACACATTGAGCTGCACTGGTGACATAACAAAACCGTGGGGTTGTCCTGGCGACATCTACAACCTTTGTCGAGAGTAGACATGGCAATCCTGCTGTGCGTCTTCAGGATTCTTGTTTACTCCAGATTCACGGGTAACAGATTCTTTTATGCCTATCCTGTGTAAGTATGCTCTAAGACTGCAGTATTCTATCCGAAGCCTTAAAATTGATATTTTTTTTTTTTCCTGTGGTTTTCTCTTTGTGTTGTCTCTCTCTCCGGTCTGTAGTTTCAATTATGCATTCTCCACCCCGCCCCTCGATTTGAATGACTGCTTTAAGATTGTGTGTTTTTTGTTTTTTTTTTAATAGTTCTGTGGTGGATGAGGTTGTGGAATATTAATCCCAACTCTTGCCAGCTCATCTGCTCTTTTATTTCCCGGAGTACCAGAGTATAGTTGGTCTTGTTTATTTTTGCTCGGTAGTGATGGGATAACAGACAATGGTCACGGAGTATAACAGCCGTGTGCGCTCTGTATTGCTGAGTGAGGAGATGCTAGGCTGCAGAAAGAAAGGCAGTTGCTCCTGTTCTGTAGTTTATACATATGTGCCCAGGTTGTAAACAGTAAAATACCTCAATTTTTGGCTACGTCCGTAGCAGAGTCGTCAGTGAAAACCTGAGTCTTAAGTGGTACTTGGATCCTTTTTTTTTAATCCAAGCCAGAACCAGTTAGCTTTTGTATCTTCGTCTGCGCAATTTTTGTAGTGATCCGTGGCACTTCTAGGACTATATTTGCCTTATCTAGATTGCGTATCCAGGGTCCTGGCCTAAGCTTTTCAGAGTGAAAAGCAGATCCAAGCAGATCTTGGTGCTGTGTATATTGTTCTCTAGAAAGGAGGTTAGAGCTCGGGCGCTTAGGACTTTGTTTTTCTCTCTTGAGATTTAGAACGCAGTGGGTAACTTTGTAGTCTTTTTAGTTTCTCGTACTTCTTCTTCTTCTTCTTCTTCTTGTTCACCGGCTGTGAATTCCGGCGGTAAGTCGCGGTTGTTCGTCCAAAATGGACTTTTGGCTTTTACCTTGACCTGAGTTTTGCGTGTACATCCGTTTTACTGGCTTATTTGTTTGCAGTACTCGTTCCCCGCCTCTCCGGCAGATGTACTCCGACTTCGGAGGAAGACGTCAAGCCTTTTTCTAGGTTGACTGTGGCCATTGTTTTGTGTGGGTCGAGATGTTGCCTCATTTGTGTGGTGTCCTCTTTGACTTTTAACAGGTGTGGCCCCCGGCATGTCGTTCTTAAGGCAGCTCTATGTAGAGTTTTCAGCCCTCAAGGGAAGGCAGGGGCAGATCATAGGCATTCCCCGCCATCCAAGGAGGCTTCCATAAATGCAGAGCCGACACATGATGCTCTGGTTCTGGGCTCACCCAAGGAATCGTCACGTCCTGCCCATGACTGCTTAACCTCACAACCGTGTATTGAGCTTCCCGCGCTACAAGGCTGCGCTCTCCGGAGATCAGCGGGGAACAGCCCGCAGGTCTAGGACGTTTGTGGCCACACAAATAGGTACATTCTTTTTCATCTTACGTTAGACACCTTTAACGTTGTTTCAGCTGTGCCCTTAGCACGACAAAATTGGGAAGCAAAATGCGCCAGGCGTGGCTTCACCTGTTTGGTCCCAACACTCGGGCGAGTTGGACCAGTGGATACGGACATTCGGACTTTTTCCTAATCGGTACGAATTATGATCGTCGGACTCTGAGCTTGCATGTGTGCCGTGGGGTATAACTTTGTCGGACATTATTTCCAAACCAGCATATGAAAAGTTGCTGCCGTGGTGTACCTCAGCGCGGTGACGACGACACTGAGGATTGACAGAGGATGTACGTAGGTAGGATCTTGCTGCGAGAAGTCGCCCACAAGAGATGTTACTCGTCTTGGCTGCGGGTAAATCTCTCGGTCAGGGTTGAGTCTCAGCAGCACAGTTTTAAATTCCCTCCCGAATTTTAACCAAGAGTTGTCATTTGATGGTACATTTAACAAGCAATTTTGAGTTTTGTTAAACTTTTCACCCATGCGTTTGGGGGCGGGCTGGTGAGAGCCAGAAAGGACACTACACCTCTGGGGGCCGCCAGCTCCGAGATCCCCTGCCAACTCTGTTAATGCTCATTTGAGACATTATCCGTGGCGCACGACGGGGACGTGCAACAGGAGTCTTGCATGAGGTTCCGTAAAACCAGAACAGTGAAGGACTGGCGCCCGAGTGGGGTACGGAGTATCTCGTTATACACCTCACATCAGACTTAACTTTGCCTCATGCCTGTGACCGAAATCACCGCGCCACGTTTCTCGTACTGTATAAGAGTGTGTATTTTCTTCTTAGTTCAAGTCTTTTAATGTCTGCTATCATATATATCTCTTTGATGAGAGAAGTTTTTCATGACTCCTATAACAATCCTCACTTGCATATTCGAAACATGGTCCAGCTTTCCTATGGTTGTTTTGACTGCTGTAGCCTCTGTAGTGGAAGCATATTCCATAATTGACATTACTGCTCCAGTATACACTTGTTTCAGAATTCTGTGTTTGGCACCCCATGTGGTACCCATCGTTTTTTTTTCTTCCATCGCTCTTTCATAATCGGGACACAGAACCCACAAAGGGGAGTGGATTATTGAAACAGTAGAATGGGTGTGACGCATGTTAAGTCATGTATACCTTGTAAAGAGTTATCAGTGATGAGTTGGTTGGTGCTGAAAGAGTTTAACTCTTTTGGTTTAATAAAACTTACCACTCATCATGCGATCACTGGATGATTCAAAGACAGCATACATTTCTGACTATATTCTGTATAATTTTCTAAGAATACTAAACATCCCTCTTTAACCATATGTACACACACACACACACACACACACACACACACACACACATATATATATATATATATATATATATATATATATATATATATATATATATATATATAAATTATGAATTATCTTTATAAGTATTTGCCTATTCATTTCATATTATTTCCAATATATTATTATATTCAGTTACCATTCAGAACATTATTAAGCTCTTAAACTAGGATACTGCCCTTCGAGACAGCTTTTTTGCTTAGGAAAAAAAATGCATTTTGAGAATCTTCACAGATGTCTCCATTTCGCGTCTCTGGAACAGAAAAAGTCAAAAATTATAAAGTCTCCAGAAATTATTCGATACATAAAATCCACGTCGCACGACGATAAGCCAGGTGGGCCAGCCAGCGGTAGTGAAAGGAAGAAGCAGAGATTTGAGGCCACCATTCTTCAGCCAGCTACTTCCTTGTCTGTTTGCACAGGTTCAACCGGGAAATAATCTAGTAAAATAACAAAAGGTAAAGTTATATTGGTAACAAGTAAATGTGAATATTTGTGTTATTAATATAATAGTTTTAACACATGCATTTATTAGCTAAAATGCGCAATTTTGACGAAGATATGGATGTTTTTGATGAAAATGATTTGTTCTTGTGTATGACCTAATTTCGATAGCTTCGGTTTTAGAGAGAAATGTCGGATTGAACACGCTAGTATTTCTGTAAATATATTAAGGTCTCCGATATTTTTCCTTTCTTTTTTTATTTTCTATCGGCAAACTATACTGATATGTCAAATCTACATCTACCCCTATATTGTTTTAGACAATTAAGTCATCTTTTCTGGCTGTAGTGACGGCATCATTAAAAAAAATGTTTTGTCATTATTTCATTATTTTTTCATCGCCACTGTAATAACTGTACACTTGACGCTTGATGATTAGTACCGGCACCTTTTATAGACACTTTGTGGTAAATACCAATAGCTTTTTTTTCTTGGAAAAAATTCCCTGGGGACAGTTAATTATACATTGAACTGGCTCTCCTTGCAGAACCGGACGAGGGCTGGACGGCTTAGTTCAGTTTAGTGGGAGTTCTCTAGCTACTTCAGTGAAATTTTTAAAATGCCCTCTACACCAATAAAACCAGCACAGGTAGATAGCTGTAAACAATCTCTTTCCAGTGGTACCTCATTTAGGCTTGTATGTCATTTCTGAGCTGAGATATGTAGGTTTTTGTGGAGATGAGATGTAAGAAACAGCCGCTAAAACTTGTGACCCAGAAACAAGAAGTTTTTCTCTGCGCAGCCTACTGCGCAGTTCTGTATCGGCTTTGTTGACATTGGACTGTCATTGGACAAGATGGCAGGCAATGAGACTCAGCCGCATGCGATTGCCTAAAAAATGTCACTGTAAATCTAAACAGCTAAAAACGGGAAAGAAATTTTATAAACAAATGTAAAAAAAATTGGACGGAGAATTCAATTATAACTAGCATTACCACATCTGGTAATGTTAAAGCCTAGAGCCAACCTCGAATTTACCGCTATTTTCAAGCAAACTGATAGACTAACAGAAAAACAGGATGGCCGGCTGTCGAAGACATGCGCTGTTAATCGAGTTCCTTCCCACCGTTTTCAGCTATTTAGAGGTGAAAATCACACCAATCGCAAAATTTCATGAGAGATTAGGACCCATCCCGAAACCCCAGCCGACATTTGCGAAGCAAGTTTCAAACGGTTTCCATGGTAACGGAAATTCTCGAAAAGATAGCAAATTTCCTAAACTGTAGTCGCTAGAGTTCTCTCCCTTGGTCGCACTGGAAACAGTTAGCGGAAAAGTCACGAATCAAAGAAGACAGTGAGGTCAATATCAGGGCTGCCAATGCTTGGTTGTGTCCCCAAGATCTGGGTTTTTTTTTTTACGTTGGAGGGGAAATCTGGGGGTTTGCTGATCTGTATGCTTTAATGACCGATAAATTCACGTGGTTAGGGGTGGGGTTAGGTTTAGCGTTAGATGTGACAATTTTGACGCAGGAGTTCGCTATAATCGCGCACAGTCACATACACACCCAAACAGTCGACGAACTGTGGATGCTACGGACAATTCGCCACCGATTGGGCACCAGTCGCGCTATTGCCGTCATATTTGGCAGACTGTCAGTAGCGCCACTCCAACAAGCATCAGATTGTCGGCCAGTATTTGGAACTCCTACGTCAAAATTCTCTCATCTAACCCTAAGACAAAGAGAAGATGATGGACAGTATGACATAATGACAGATTATCCATCACTATTGACTAAAAGTACACGAGACAGAAGATTGTGGATAGACATGACCACCAACTCCATCCGGCTTAGACTATAATGATGCGAAACCTAGCCGATCAGTAGCAGTAGTCTTATTTTCCTGTTTGTATGTAAAAAAAACTTGCCTGCTTGACCTATTGTCATGATGACTCTTTCCTTGCCCCCTGGATAGCGCTGCACTTTACCGGGAACTTACTACGAAATCTTGGAGTCTTCAAGATAGGGTGAACAAAAAAGAAAAGTACTGAAATCTCTTTCCAGTGGTATCCATTCATGCCCATGTTTCATTTTAAAGCAAGGATATCAAGGTTTTTTTTAAAAAAAAAAAAGTATTGAGAAAACCCTGTAAAAACTATATTTTGCTTGCAGTGATAGAGCGACCAGTCTTAAGGTGTTATATACTCATTTACTTATGTTTTTTTACTTAACTTAGTCGCTCCTCTTCTACCTTGGGGTGTAGAGGTTTGCCAGACGTCTCTATCAGCAGTTTTCTTTCTGGCTTTGTTCCATTCCACTCCCTCTGTCATTTAGGGTCTGCCGGATGTTGTCTTCCCAGCGCACCTTCAGGTCTGGTTCTTAGCCTCTAATGCCTGCCGCAGTGGCTGATTTTCTCCCATTCTGCATACATGTATAAACCATCGTAACTGGCTGATCCACTCGGGTTTGTGAGGACTGGATATGAAGATCTTGACGTATTGTCTAGATTGCGGACTTTGTCCCTTCTTGTCACTTGGACCACCTTTCTCAGATACCTCATTTATGAGGCCAGAAACTGGCTTCTGTGAGCTGTTGTCATTGTCCATGACTCACACCCTTAGGTCAGTACTGGTACATAGGTAGAGCGGTAAACAACCATTTTTGTCCTCTTGCCAATTTCTCTTTTGCTAAGAAACCCTCAATTTATGGCCTGGAAGAGTCTCCCAGCAGCTGCTTTTCTTGTAGCCAGCTTAGACTTAATACCTCCATTTTGGTCTAATACAACTCCAAGGTATTTGAATTGGTTGACCTGCTCTAATTTGACTGTCCCATCATGATCTGGTGTTTCTTCTCCTCTCTTGAGATCACCACGGTTTATACTCATTCACTTACCAGATGAAAACCGTCTGTTTCTGTGGCTTTCCTGATTTTATGTTCTCTCTTTTGCAGGTTTATGAGTCAAAAGGCAGAAAAACCACAACTATCAGGCACCCGTCTGAAAACCAGAAAAAGGGGTATGTTAGAACATAAACTTAGTTTCTGTTAACCTATTTTCTTCTAGTACTCCTAGTTATTAAAGTCGACACTTTTCTCATGCTGTTGTAATTAATTGTCACGCTAAAACTTTTTTCACTAACAGGTTAGTTGAATTTGTATTTTTTGACACTTATTAACTGTTTTTTATATAAAATTGTTTATCAAAATTGTACATAAACACAATTATATCTATGTACGTATAATTATTGTACATACTTCTATCTAAGTACACTCTATGCTTCAGTTTGTTGGACTTTTTTTCTAACCTACCAGTGTAATAGTTCTTTATCTATATCTACTATTTTATTCTCATAATTTTTTTTGTAGCCGTAAGTGCCAGTAATTGCCGTAAGTCGAGGTGTACAAAGTTTAATAAAGTAAGTGGTTTTTTTTAGTGCTGCAATAATTAATTGATGGCAGTGTAACAAAATAGAAATAAATCTGTTTTGAACATATTTCTGTTACATAATGCATGTTTTTTTTACCATATAAGGCATATTCCGAGACATGAGCTGAGCACCAGACAGACACTGAAATGGGAAACACTTGGACTGAGGAAACAGCGATGTCCGAAAGAAATCATCAAATGGGCATTGGAAAAAAACAGCCAAATGAGCAGGACTGGATTCCATCTAGGATATCAAACAATGCACAAGAGGGAACAGATTGGGGTTATAGACTATGATTTATGGGACATTTAATGGCACAGTGGGGTTAATGTTATTTCCACTTCCCCCTATTTAAAAAAATATTTTTGGGCCTTCACTAATGACATACCCTTTTATTTTAAAGATGAAAAGGAAAAGTACGACCCAACTGCTTTTCGAGATTCCATCATTACTGGCATTAGTGAATGTGGAAGAGATCTAGAGCTCGTGTCTCGTTTTCTAGACAAAGAAGGATCAAAACTTGACTACAGGAGATATGCAGAAGTCCTTTTTGATACTCTGTTTGCCGGAGGCATTCTTGGTAAGTTTTTCTTCTTGTATTTGTACAGAATATAATTGTGTTTAATCAAGTTGTGATCTTCTTAGTTATCAACGGTGTAAGCCCCCCCCCCCCCCCCCCCCCCAAAGTAAATGTTCACCCACTTCTGTCCAAAACTATTTCAATCGTAGGACGGCAAGGTTAACCTGAGTTAGTAGTGGACAAACTGATCTATTGATAGAACAGGCTCTGTTTAACATAGCTCTTGTCTCGCTGTAACTGTCAGCTTGTAGTCTACACTATAGATAGCTGAAAAGTAGTAATTATAGTTGCTAGCTAGAACTAAATTTACTTTGACAGTATCAAACGTCATAGTGGCACTTAATATGAAAGGTTTCATTTAGTATGAGAAAGTGGGATGTCAGCTTGTTTGCAAATAATTAAAGTCTGGAGTCTGCGGACTGCTTTCTGGATCGCTAAAGGGTTCGGCCCACAATGAGGGAAAGGCTGAACATATTGGGATAAGTTTATCAGTTGCAGGATTGTATGTTTTCTTGGGTGAGTCTGGTGCTAGAGCAATATCCTTTGGCTCTGCCCCTACTTTTCCCTGAGAATCGATCAGTCTGCACACAACTGCCATGTATGGACAGCAGCTGTAGATTACGGATGATAAAGTCACGAGAAAAAATTACCTTGTGAAACAACACAGGAATGCTGACCCGGAAAACAAATTCTCAAAACCAGATGTGTCAGCTGAAAGATAGAAATAAATAGGCATGAGGCGTCACTTGGGGGTGAGGGAGGAAGAAAACATTGCAGTGCCTGGAAAGAAGAACAGTAATGGTGTTCACTATACCTGGAATAGCAGCTGGCTAGTGCCAAGAATATCTTTAGCAGGAAAGGACGTTAGAGTTTCTTTAAGACAGGTTGTGATGATAGTGACGTTCTGTAGTGCTACATGATGATGTTGATCCTGTACTGTTTTGATGAATTCTGAATGGTTTCTTCTAATTATGTTTCAGCACCCGGAGGGTTTATTGTAGAGGGAACAGACAATGGGAAACCTGTCCGATCAGATGTCTGTGTTTTCAGGTGTGATGGAGACCTTGACTCACTACGCAACTTTTATGCGGTAAATTGCTTTTTTATCTTTGGGACCACAGTCAGTTATTTAGTTGCCCTCTCCACAGTGAAGGTTGAATGCAGTGGATCTCTAGCACACTCCGTCTCTTGTCTTTGTTGTACACTTTCAGACCTTTCCCTCCAGTATGATTTTTGAAAAAGTTATGGTCTTGGTACCTCAGACCTTTTCCTCCAGTATGGTTTTTGAAAGAGTTATGGTCTTGGTACCCCCTTCCTTTCCCTCCAGTATGGTTTTTGAAAGAGTTATGGTCTTGGTACCTCCTTCCTTTCCCTACAGTATGGTTTTTTGAAAAAGTTATTGTCTTGATGTCTCAGACCTTTCCCTCCAGTATAGTTTTTCAATGAGTAATAGTCTCGGTTGTGCGCTCTGTCAGACCTTTCCCTCCAGTGTGGCTTTTAAGGTGGTTAAAATATTCATCAGTTTGATTTTCTCCTTGCTTGTTTATTATCCAAATTTCTGCAACAATTGGCTGGGTTGAGAATACATAACATTTGATGAATCTTTTTTTTAATGTGTTGTCCAGTCCTATTTTCTTTTTGATTTCTGTTTGACTTATTATTTGTCAAGAATAGGAGAAACTTCTCTCTGATTGCTGTGATGTCCACTGTTGCTATGTGTTCACAGTATAGATTATTAAAAATGCAGATATCCAAACTATATGATCCTATATTGTAGGCATGCTTTTCACTTTGGACTCTGTCAAAGGCCTTGTTGTAATCTATAACAACAAACACAAATAAATTAGACACCTCTGCCAGTGTCTTTGTGCTGTAGACTCCACAGCATGTCTTGCAAGACTGTTGACGATCTACTCTGCGTCCACTGACTGTAAGCAGGAAATCTTGGTGGTTCATCCATTCATTTCCGACTCATTGTGTGGGAAAACAAATAAGAATACAAGCATGTCATAGAAGTCGACCAACTGAAAGTGGGAGTATAAAATGGACGTGCATGCAACTTTTGGATTCTGGAAGAAGTCTAAACAACCAGAGCTTTCAGTCTTTTAAAGCCGGTGAACAGGATAAAGAAGAAAAAATCTTGTTCCATGACTTTTTCCTTCACATCTGTTTTGCAGATCTGGCTTTTTTGTTTGTAGACTGTTGCTTCCTTGTTTCTCTCGCGGATGCACTGACTTTAAAAAAAAGAACGTCGATTCCATCTACGTTGCCATCTTCCCATTTGGTAACCTTTTTCTAGGATGACAGGATAGAGGTGTAGATAATCTTGTCTAGTATGGTATCATTTGTGGAGCATCACTTATCCTGAAACAGTGTATGTGAAAATCAGGATTTGAAGATTTTTCTTCAAAAGTTTGTCATTAATGTTCCATTTTATTTTCTGGCAGGTGTTCTATAAGCTCATCCGAAGGTACAAGTATTTGGAAAAAGCGTTTGAGGATAATCTGAAAAAGGTAATCTTGCCAATGTTTCCTGGGTCTAGTGTTTCTTGTGTGCTGTCTAAAGTATGCTAATGTAGCAGGCAGTACAACAGAAAATATGTTGTATATGTGTTTTGTGGGTTGCCAGATGTCTGTAGCTGTAGAATTGGTTGTAACAGCCTAAGTCTAGAATTTGTGTGGGAAGTGTTTTATTACTAATTTAGCACACTGGGCATACCTATAGGTGCTCCGTCTCCCACAGCAAATGTCCTAAGGTGTAGATGCTAACTGTTCTTGTAGCCCACTGATTATACACTCATCGTTCTCTTTCTCTCATACGTCCCTCTCTGCTTGATCCACTCGTGATTCCTTGTTCCAAGTGTGGTGCGCCATGTGTGCAGGTGTAGAATGTGGTGTAACACTTGCCTAGTATTTATGTATGTTTGGTGTGTAAGGTGTTGTGTTGTTTTTAGTCTTCCACTTTCTACATGTGTTTTAGGGACCTCTTTTTCAGAAAAATAAGAATAGATCAACTTTCCCTCAATATGCGTGTCATAAAAGTGACTATTAAAGGATCTGCTTAAATTAGTGGCACAGAAATTAGAGCCTGGCTGTAAATAACAACAGCTGCACTTCTAAGGGCTAACAGAGCATACCAATTTGTTTATAGGTTTCTTTACTGGCTTTAGTTTCGACAAAAGTCCAATATTTCAGGGGGTGGAAGATTTGCTGCATGCAGTCGTGGAACCTAGGCTCCACTTTCTTGTGGGATGTAGGTGGGTTGAGATGAGATCCCGTTCTAGATGTTTGGTATAGTTAAAAGCACCACAACGCCGGAAAACCTGGTCTTACCATCCTATAAAATATTGGACTGTCCCCGTTACGTCATCTGGGGTGACTTACGAAAGAACCATTTGTGTTGATTTGACAACTTGTTATATATAATAGCGTACAAGTTAGGATTATGTATTTGGTATTATATTAAGCTTATATATTACTGTTTTCCATTTGCAATCAGATCCTGATGTTCCAAAAGGGTTTCCAAGCTGATGAACGTGAAAAACTGGCTATCATCACCGGAATCATCCTGGCCAATGGCTTATGCACCCCTCGCATCTTGCTTAGTCTCTTTGAGGACCACCTGGTCAAAGAAGGTATGCTCACATGACCTGTACTTTAGAAGTTCATCTGGAGAATGCCCGACAGTTCTAGAGAGTTCCATTGGCGTGTTGCTTGTTTTGAGGCACAGCTCAGGGTAAAAACAAACCCGACAGTAAGCCAGTGCAGAAATATGCACGGCACGGGATACCCAAGGCTAACGAAACCAAGACTTGCATGCATAAGAAAGAACCAAATCCGCAACTAAATATTTTTCCCTAGTGGCAGCGAAGATTTCATAGAACTAAGTTGGTACCAATAAGGGTCACTACGCCAATTTTTTTTTTTATTTACAGAGTTAGGGCAATTATTTTATAATGGTCATTTGAAGGGATACATGTTATCACATTTGTATACTTTAAGTGTGAAAAAAATCATGGTTGTCATGGCAATAGCTGCCATCTTGTGGGAAAAAACTTGTACTTAAAATCCTAAAATTTCAAAAACATACGTAATAAAAAAAATGATAATAGATTCATGACCTTTTATCATATTTTGAGGTAGAATTTTAAAATGTAGGTTTATTGAGAAAAAGTAGTAAAATATTGCATCATATGACAATAATTGAATTTTAAAAAACAAAAACTTTCTAATATCTACTTTTGATAAGACCAGTCCCTACAATATTGTTTAAGGAGTATCATGTTTTTAGTCTTTATATTAGCTGAGATTTTAGAATTTCACACACACAACAAACAGAAATATAGAGAAAACTGACTTTAAAACTTTACAAAAATGAACACATTGAAAAAAGGGATATTTTTGTCATAAATCTGAAAAAATGCCATGTAGTGACCCCTTAAAAAAACCACAATGTGGTTTCTAATAGTGGTAATCCTATCCCAGATGTGAAGTCCTGATGTTTAGGTTCGATTCTAATGTAAAATCAGTACTGTTATATAGAGTGGAAATATGAACAACTAAGGCAGTTACTAGTAAACTACAAACATTCATTAAGTGATGCCTACGCAGAATAGAGGTAATTAAATGGTATGTTAGAATCTTTGATGTAGGGCTTTGGGAGAGAACTAAGCAAGTTCCAGGGGACCAAGATGTTGGCGGATAGGACACACACATTGTGTAAACTGAGAACAGTATAACTAGAATGTTTTTGCACTGAAACCCACAGAGGCATGGAAATAAAGGCTGCTTGCTATAGCGAAGAATAGAACGACTTGGCTTGAGTTTGTTTAAGGGCCAGTGCTGCGTGAGGGGATAGAAATTATGTTACGCAGATATTATAGCTTAGCTGTAAACCACAACGTCAGTCGCCTTTTCAAGTCTTCTTTTTTGCGCTCACCAGCTTTAAAATCTGGTGGAAAGTTCCAGTTGTTCGCCCACTGTCTGTAGTCCTTTTCCAGAAACTAGCAGTATTGTGATTACATCCATTTCATAGGTCTGATTTATCTGCATGCAGACTGTTAGTTCCTTGCCTCCCAAGCAGGTGTACATGATTTCAAAGGAAGCTCCCATTTAGTGGACTCTTCATGACATGCTTTTGGGCAGGCAGTGGGTGTAATCTTGCAACGCAGATGTATCATAGGATCACCGCTGTGGAGTGAGAGAATATCTAACTGTTAAGTGAGGCAAAAGGCACCAGTGATGAAGCAGATGTGAGGTAAATTTAATTGCGCCACAGCCTAAGATATGACGTTTTGAATTGCAGGCATCTCCCTGGAGTTTGCTGCGACCATGTTCTCCACATGGTTGAAGGAGAAGGACATCAATTCCATTTGTGCGTCTCTGAAGAAGCAGCAGATTGACTCCAGGCTCATGGTGAGTAAACGCTGGATTTTGTCATTCTGTTGGATATTGTGGAGAAAGCTGCGAGATGGTTTAAGAACCAACACCAGCAGTTTAAACGTTCATTTTTGTGATCCATCTTAATCATTAGCAGTTGCCACAGTTCCCATTGCGAAATACCAGTAGCCGTCTGATTGGGTGTCCATCTTGCCTTTTCTGACCAGATTTTCAAGTTCCCTGCACCATTCTCTTCGAACCCTGATCTACTCTAGTTGCCTCCACACCTTACTGTTCGCTCATTCCCAAAGGACCTTGACATCTGTCTTAGCGTGAACCAGCCAGCCACCACATCTGCATGTCCTGGAAAAAACTAGCTGGGTCCTGAAGCAATGCTTGCAACTGCATGAAGCATACTCATCTCCTTAACTAGCTTCATGAGTCAGTTATAGTCCTGACATGTGTGTGCAATTGGTTCTGGTGGCAGTGAAAGGTTGCAGTGACTGCCTTAACCCCCATTCTCAAACTATATGTTGTCATATATGCCAAATGTCTCCAGCCTGAAGAGGTAGAGGGGCTTGTGTATTCCAGCGACCCCCGAGAGCTATGCTGACGGTAACTTACCTGCTGGTAGGGTCTCTTATGTTGGACAGGTCAAAGAAGAGCAACCAGATAAAGAGAGGCCTACCCAGATGTTTCGGTTTGGTACTAATCTTGTGGAGCCCCACCAGGCAGAGATAGTGTCTAGCCCCTTGCATTGTAAGTTTTTTCATATAAAACTACTGGTGTGCTGCGAAGTCAAGGCGACGGGCATTAGGACAAAAACTATTAACCAAAAATCCAGTGGAATGCTGAAGAAATAAAAACAATAATCAAAATAAAAAGTCTACCAAAAACGCCTTTGTGAAGACAGAATTGACGTGGCATGCATCCAAGAGACACACCTCAGTGCCCATCTGTTTTCTGCCAGAGGATATCAGGCTGTACACTATGACCACTTATGACGGTCGAACCTTTTTGATTGTTTGTGATGTAGATCAGTATGGCCGATAGGAAGGTTTATACTGTTTTTTTTTCAAAGTCATAGCAAGTTTTTGCTTATGGCAGTAGGTAGCAGTTTCCCTCCATTTACACACTGAAAGCATATAGTTCTATCGCTATGACTAAGTTGAGTGCATGGCACAGCACTGAGCTGTGGATTTCATGTGGAATGTTCTGGTCAGCCCAGCATGGTTATGAGCTCACCACATACAATTACCAGCCCATCTCCATCAAGTAGACCACTGTTTCCATTATTCACATCTGTAAAATTAATTATGCTTGTCCTGTAAACATTTCTTCATATTAAGAGATTTTATTTGCTTCCTGCAGGAAATGTTTCCAATCAACAAACGCAACCAGGAGAATTTCACAACTTTCTTTCAAGAGCGAGGTCTCGGGGCCATCGCCAATATGCAAATAGCCCAGATGGCATCCAAGGCCAAGAAAGAGGCCCAGAAGTGCCTTGCAGACATGATTAAAGATGAGAGTCCAGTGTCAGAGGTACTACTAATCGTCGTCTGTTGTTTATCGTTTATTTACAAATCATTAGTAAGCTAATTTTTTTAAAATTAATTATATCCCTTGTGTGGGTTCCGCCCTGTTATAGGGAGAACAAGAATAGACCCACTACCTCCCTAAAAGCATGTCGAATAATTTGGAGCTTCTTTTAAAATCGGAGTGCATCTGCCTGAGAGGCAAGGAAACAACAGTCTGCATACAAATTACTTGAAGCTGTCAAACGGGTGCAACACTGAAGTTCCAGAAGTGGATGAACAACCAGAACTTTTCTCGCTAGAGTTTGCATCTAATGAACGCAAAAAAAGAAGCAATTAATTTACTTACCAACATATTTATTAAAGTTAAATGTACAAAAAATTAATAGTAATAGTTTGTGCATATTCGTTATTTAATCTACTGTTCGTCGTATTTAGTAAACTGATCACATAATCTTTATTTTAAAATGACCTTGGTTCCTAGGTTGACCCAGCCTTGAGTAGGTACTTGGTGCAGTCCCAGGAAGTAAAGGCGGCCGGCATGATGCTGACCACATCACCCGTCTTGTGCCCATAGGTCTATGAAATATAGGTCTAGCCCTATACGCCTAAATGCTAGGGAAAAAGGACCTTAACTTTACTTACATAATCTTAATAAACTAATTATTAATTGCTTCTAGAAATCTTTTGAGTTGATTACCATCACATTAAAGTTGAATCAGATTCTCTTAAACTTAGTAAAATAATGTCAGTTGTATCACAATAACTTGTATGTTAGTGTAAATCAGAAAACGAACACAAGAAATATAGTAATTTACCAAGTTTAATTGTTAACTTTTATATCTTTATGTGATCTGTTTATTTGTTTCCCACTCATTCTTGTTAACTTCATGAATTTAATTCTGTGTTGTTGGTTTTGTTTACCACAGATGATTGATTACGTGAAGGAGCTGATTGACAAACAAGGCATGTCTGAAACAGAAGTTGTTATAGCTGTAAGTATTTCTGCACACATTGTAGCTGTCTTCTTGGCATGTATTTATCCATTCTAGTGTGATGCGTTACACTGATGTGTTCTATTGCTTTTGAGTTGAAATGCTATAGAAAGATTCTCAGAATATCTTGGACAAAGAAGAGGAGAAATACTGACATCTTGAAAGATCTGAACATCAAGGAAGATTGGCTAATAAACAGCATCCTGTCTCAGAAGCTGAAATATGTTGGTCTTATTAAGCGCCACAACGGATTGGAAAAAATTATAGCAGAAGGCATGGTACCAGGAAAGAGGGCCAGGGGCCGACCGACACGAAGATGGGTACAGGATATAAGTGACTCCTTGGGGCATTAAAGCACATGAGGTGGGAGAATTGAGTTTTTTTTTCAGGCATACCGTGATGTGAGGGACGTTCTGCAAAGTACCTGCTACATGATGATGATAAGTGTGATGTAGGACATGTTGTGAGGAAGAATAGACTTCTCTTTAGCATACGTAGGCTGTGGCAGAAAGTTGTTGGTCCATGTCTCAACTTGTGTCTCATTCGTTTTATAATTCTGGCATATTTTTTATGCAGACTGTTGGTTTCTCGCCTCTCAGGCAGATGTACTCTGTGACTTTGAAGGAGACCTCCCTCATTAGTATACTTTAATAGCATAAAAGTTGTTCATAATGTCTTTTATGTGTTGAGTGTTAACGCTTTAAAGAACTTACAAGTTACAGTACTTATAATATGTAACAACAACCTGGTGTATTTTTGTTTCACAGATCTGGAGTTCTATAATGGCTGCCGTGGAGTGGAACAAGAAAGAGGACCTTGTGGCAGAACAGGCCCTGAAGCATCTCAATCAGTACTGCCCCTTGTTCAAGGTCTCGGCTCGTACCAGCAAGTCTGAGCTGGCTCTGATGCTCAAAGTTCAGGAGTTCTGCTACGATAACATGAACTTCTTGAAGACTTTCCAGAAGATCATCATGCTTCTGTACAAAAGTAGGTTTCTCTTCAGACCTCCTCTCCCTGTGTGGGTCCTGGGATCCCATTGTGGGGAAAACAAGAACGGACCCACGGCCTACCCAAAAGCATGTCGTAGGAGTTGACTTAATGGGAACTTCCTTAGAAGTCGGGGTGCATCTGCTTTAGAGGCAATGTGTATCTGCATACACATAAGTCAGTGGATGTGCGCGCAATACTAAAAGTTTTTGAATAGAACTACAGCCCAGAAGTGGCAGAACAAGCAGGAAAAGACCTCCACATGTTGGTTTATATAATCTTGGTTGGCACGCTGCAAGACATTCTTAATTTCACATGATTTTGTAGAATTATACACAAAATACAGTTGCTGTTAACCAATGTCTGGGCAGAATACAAGGAGTTTAGTGCTATAGGAGTATCCTCTATGTAGCGATTAGAAATAGATTCTTGCAGATTAAGAGATAAAGAGCTAGACTGGACGCAGATTATGAAAGGTTACAAGTTGATCTTGTACAGGCTGGATGGGGTCAAACGTTTCTGTGATTCTGTATGGGATTTAAGGGTTAGAGGGAAGGGGATTAAGTTCTCAGATAATTTGTGATATAATTGTTAATCAAAGCAGTGAATTTTCATTGTAAATTTTAATAAGACGCAAATAGATTGCACAATTTATGGCATGGCATATTTCACGGTATCTCGTCAGGTGCACATACAGTTACAATTACATAAATAAAGTAAAAAAGTGAATGCTTTATAACTAAAGTACACATTCCACAACAATCAAACCCGACTGCCTGTTTTATCAGAGCATATACAGTGTCTAGTCGTTTTGTTTATAAAGTTCAGGGCGGAGGTAACGAATCTTGGCAGCTTCAAGAAATCAAGTATTCTGCCATTATCTGAAGTGTGAAGGGTTTATAGTTTCTTGGATACACTATGTCCAGATTTTAGAAGGCGGCTTGTTATTGAAGTCTTTACAACTGGTATCCACTTATTTGCTTGATGTATATTATTGTTGATCAAACTGTTTTAGACTTGCCTAAAGACATCTGAGAATTCACATTAAACAAAAAAAATTTGAACAGTCAGTCTGCAGTCATGAATGACAGTATGAACATTGCGGTCAGGCCTTCATGAGCGTATGACTCAAATGTACCATGATTGAAAATGTTAAGAGTGGGAGGATTGTATCTTAAATCTACCTCCTTGGTACGTGATTCTGAGGCTCAATTCCAGACTATTTGGCAGCTGCCTGTTTTGTGTTGTGACAATAGTATCAAGAGCCAGCTATTCAGAAAGCACATTGGCAAACTACTGAATAAAAATTGTCTAGTGAAACATATTTTTGAATCCCTGTGTGGGTTCCGGGGCCCTATTATAGGGAAAACAAGAATAGACCCACTGCCTACCTAAAAGCATGTCGTAAGAGTCGACTAATTGGGAGCTTCCTTTGAAGTCAGAGTGCATCTGCCTGAGAGGCAAGGAACCAGCAGTCTGCATACAAATTAGTCTGATCTGTAAAACGGATGCACACGCAACACTGAGGTTCTGGACCGGGACTGCAGTCCTAAAGTGGATGAACAACCAGAACTTTCCGCCAGAGTTTACAGCTGGTAAAGAAGAAGATTTTTGTGAAAAAATTGCTGGTTCTGCAATGTCCTGTGGAGGATACACAGTTAACTTGTATTTTGCCTATTTGATATTTACAGCTGGAGTTATCAGTGAAGATGTCATACTGAGGTGGTACAAGGATGGTCACAGTGCTAAAGGCAAGAGTGTCTTCCTCGAGCAGATGAAGAAGTTTGTGGAGTGGCTTCAGAGTGCTGAGGAGGGTGAGTTAGTGTTTACCATTTTAATAATTTTATCAACGTGATGGTTGAAACCAAGCTGTATGGATCAGGGCAGGATATGTGTCGCAGGACAGCGGGGTCCTTTGCCAAGGATGTGTGTCGCATCACAGCGGGGTCCTTTGCCAAGGGTGTGTGTCACATAACAGCGGGAGTCCTTTGCCAAGGGTGTGTGTCACATCACAGCGAGGGTCCTTTGCCAAGGGTGTGTGTCGATTCATTTATTTATGCCTCTGTCTCTTTTTAAATCTATTGTCCCCTTCTGCAACTGTTCTGTTTTCGTCTCACTCATTTGCAGGGTGAGTCAGAAATGGGGCTACACTTCTGTGTATCAGAAGGCAATGTGTAACTTTCATTGCAGATTATGTTGGGATGCGAATAGAATAGCAGTTTGAAGTGGTTTGATAACTTAGTTTTGTTGTGTATTGTTAGTTAGCAGAATTGCTTTTTACATTGATCTTATCTTCCTAGCCAGATGATGATGTAATACTGTCTGCTGTGTGATTGGATGTGTAACAATTTTTCAGACTTACCTTATATTTTTCTTAGCCTTCACTGGTTGTAAACTCTGGCGAAAGGTTCTGGTTGTTGTTCACCCACTCCTGTTTTTAGTCTTGATCCATAACATCAGGTTTTGCCTGCACATTCATTTTGCAGAACTTGCTTAATTAATTGTATGCAGACTGTTGGTTACTTGTCTCCCAGACAGATTATGTCCCAACTTCAATGAAAACTTCCTATTTAGTATTTGGTTCTGCGAGAAGATTGAAAGATCTGTGGAAGAAGAGACAGCAAGTTAATGCGAGAAGATTGAAAGATCTGTGGAAGAAGAGACAGCAAGTGAATGCGAGAAGATTGAAAGATCTGTGGAAGAAGAGACAGCAAGTGAATGCGAGAAGATTGAAAGATCTGTGGAAGAAGAGACAGCAAGTGAATGCGAGAAGATTGAAAGATCTGTGGAAGAAGAGGCAGCAAGTGAATGCGAGAAGATTGAAAGATCTGTGGAAGAAGAGACAGCAAGTTAATGCGAGAAGATTGAAAGATCTGTGGAAGAAGAGACAGCAAGTGAATGCGAGAAGATTGAAAGATCTGTGGAAGAAGAGACAGCAAGTGAATGCGAGAAGATTGAAAGATCTGTGGAAGAAGAGACAGCAAGTGAATGCGAGAAGATTGAAAGATCTGTGGAAGAAGAGGCAGCAAGTGAATGCGAGAAGATTGAAAGATCTGTGGAAGAAGAGACAGCAAGTTAATGCGAGAAGATTGAAAGATCTGTGGAAGAAGAGACAGCAAGTGAATGCGAGAAGATTGAAAGATCTGTGGAAGAAGAGACAGCAAGTGAATGCGAGAAGATTGAAAGATCTGTGGAAGAAGAGGCAGCAAGTGAATGCGAGAAGATTGAAAGATCTGTGGAAGAAGAGACAGCAAGTGAATGCGAGTGAATGCGAGCGAGAAGATTGAAAGATCTGTGGAAGAAGAGGCAGCAAGTGAATGCGAGAAGATTGAAAGATCTGTGGAAGAAGAGGCAGCAAGTGAATGCGAGAAGATTGAAAGATCTGTGGAAGAAGAGACAGCAAGTGAATGCGAGAAGATTGAAAGATCTGTGGAAGAAGAGACAGCAAGTGAATGCGAGAAGATTGAAAGATCTGTGGAAGAAGAGACAGCAAGTGAATGCGAGAAGATTGAAAGATCTGTGGAAGAAGAGACAGCAAGTGAATGCGAGAAGATTGAAAGATCTGTGGAAGAAGAGACAGCAAGTGAATGCGAGAAGATTGAAAGATCTGTGGAAGAAGAGACAGCAAGTGAATGCGAGAAGATTGAAAGATCTGTGGAAGAAGAGACAGCAAGTGAATGCGAGAAGATTGAAAGATCTGTGGAAGAAGAGACAGCAAGTGAATGCGAGAAGATTGAAAGATCTGTGGAAGAAGAGACAGCAAGTGAATGCGAGAAGATTGAAAGATCTGTGGAAGAAGAGACAGCAAGTGAATGCGAGAAGATTGAAAGATCTGTGGAAGAAGAGACAGCAAGTGAATGCGAGAAGATTGAAAGATCTGTGGAAGAAGAGACAGCAAGTGAATGCGAGAAGATTGAAAGATCTGTGGAAGAAGAGACAGCAAGTGAATGCGAGAAGATTGAAAGATCTGTGGAAGAAGAGACAGCAAGTGAATGCGAGAAGATTGAAAGATCTGTGGAAGAAGAGGCAGCAAGTGAATGCGAGAAGATTGAAAGATCTGTGGAAGAAGAGGCAGCAAGTGAATGCGAGAAGATTGAAAGATCTGTGGAAGAAGAGACAGCAAGTGAATGCGAGAAGATTGAAAGATCTGTGGAAGAAGAGGCAGCAAGTGAATGCGAGAAGATTGAAAGATCTGTGGAAGAAGAGGCAGCAAGTGAATGCGAGAAGATTGAAAGATCTGTGGAAGAAGAGACAGCAAGTGAATGCGAGAAGATTGAAAGATCTGTGGAAGAAGAGGCAGCAAGTGAATGCGAGAAGATTGAAAGATCTGTGGAAGAAGAGACAGCAAGTGAATGCAAGAAGATTGAAAGATCTGTGGAAGAAGAGACAGCAAGTGAATGCGAGAAGATTGAAAGATCTGTGGAAGAAGAGACAGCAAGTGAATGCGAGAAGATTGAAAGATCTGTGGAAGAAGAGACAGCAAGTGAATGCGAGAAGATTGAAAGATCTGTGGAAGAAGAGACAGCAAGTGAATGCGAGAAGATTGAAAGATCTGTGGAAGAAGAGACAGCAAGTGAATGCGAGAAGATTGAAAGATCTGTGGAAGAAGAGACAGCAAGTGAATGCGAGAAGATTGAAAGATCTGTGGAAGAAGAGACAGCAAGTGAATGCGAGAAGATTGAAAGATCTGTGGAAGAAGAGACAGCAAGTGAATGCGAGAAGATTGAAAGATCTGTGGAAGAAGAGACAGCAAGTGAATGCGAGAAGATTGAAAGATCTGTGGAAGAAGAGACAGCAAGTGAATGCGAGAAGATTGAAAGATCTGTGGAAGAAGAGACAGCAAGTGAATGCGAGAAGATTGAAAGATCTGTGGAAGAGAGACAGCAAGTGAATGCGAGAAGATTGAAAGATCTGTGGAAGAAGAGACAGCAAGTGAATGCGAGAAGATTGAAAGATCTGTGGAAGAAGAGACAGCAAGTGAATGCGAGAAGATTGAAAGATCTGTGGAAGAAGAGACAGCAAGTGAATGCGAGAAGATTGAAAGATCTGTGGAAGAAGAGACAGCAAGTGAATGCGAGAAGATTGAAAGATCTGTGGAAGAAGAGACAGCAAGTGAATGCGAGAAGATTGAAAGATCTGTGGAAGAAGAGACAGCAAGTGAATGCGAGAAGATTGAAAGATCTGTGGAAGAAGAGACAGCAAGTGAATGCGAGAAGATTGAAAGATCTGTGGAAGAAGAGACAGCAAGTGAATGCGAGAAGATTGAAAGATCTGTGGAAGAAGAGACAGCAAGTGAATGCGAGAAGATTGAAAGATCTGTGGAAGAAGAGACAGCAAGTGAATGCGAGAAGATTGAAAGATCTGTGGAAGAAGAGACAGCAAGTGAATGCGAGAAGATTGAAAGATCTGTGGAAGAAGAGACAGCAAGTGAATGCGAGAAGATTGAAAGATCTGTGGAAGAAGAGAAGAGCAGCAAGTGAATGCGAGAAGATTGAAAGATCTGTGGAAGAAGAGGACAGCAAGTGAATGCGAGAAGATTGAAAGATCTGTGGAAGAAGAGGCAGCAAGTGAATGCGAGAAGATTGAAAGATCTGTGGAAGAAGAGGCAGCAAGTGAATGCGAGAAGATTGAAAGATCTGTGGAAGAAGAGGCAGCAAGTGAATGCGAGAAGATTGAAAGATCTGTGGAAGAAGAGGCAGCAAGTGAATGCGAGAAGATTGAAAGATCTGTGGAAGAAGAGGCAGCAAGTGAATGCGAGAAGATTGAAAGATCTGTGGAAGAAGAGGCAGCAAGTGAATGCGAGAAGATTGAAAGATCTGTGGAAGAAGAGGCAGCAAGTGAATGCGAGAAGATTGAAAGATCTGTGGAAGAAGAGGCAGCAAGTGAATGCGAGAAGATTGAAAGATCTGTGGAAGAAGAGGCAGCAAGTGAATGCGAGAAGATTGAAAGATCTGTGGAAGAAGAGGCAGCAAGTGAATGCGAGAAGATTGAAAGATCTGTGGAAGAAGAGGCAGCAAGTGAATGCGAGAAGATTGAAAGATCTGTGGAAGAAGAGGCAGCAAGTGAATGCGAGAAGATTGAAAGATCTGTGGAAGAAGAGGCAGCAAGTGAATGCGAGAAGATTGAAAGATCTGTGGAAGAAGAGGCAGCAAGTGAATGCGAGAAGATTGAAAGATCTGTGGAAGAAGAGGCAGCAAGTGAATGCGAGAAGATTGAAAGATCTGTGGAAGAAGAGACAGCAAGTGAATGCGAGAAGATTGAAAGATCTGTGGAAGAAGAGACAGCAAGTGAATGCGAGAAGATTGAAAGATCTGTGGAAGAAGAGACAGCAAGTGAATGCGAGAAGATTGAAAGATCTGTGGAAGAAGAGACAGCAAGTGAATGCGAGAAGATTGAAAGATCTGTGGAAGAAGAGACAGCAAGTGAATGCGAGAAGATTGAAAGATCTGTGGAAGAAGAGACAGCAAGTGAATGCGAGAAGATTGAAAGATCTGTGGAAGAAGAGGCAGCAAGTGAATGCGAGAAGATTGAAAGATCTATGGAAGAAGAGGCAGCAAGTGAATGCGAGAAGATTGAAAGATCTGAAAGATCAGCAAGTGAATGCGAGAAGATTGAAAGATCTGTGGAAGAAGAGTGCAAGTGAATGCGAGAAGATTGAAAGATCTGTGGAAGAAGAGGCAGCAAGTGAATGCGAGAAGATTGAAAGATCTGTGGAAGAAGAGGCAGCAAGTGAATGCGAGAAGATTGAAAGATCTGTGGAAGAAGAGGCAGCAAGTGAATGCGAGAAGATTGAAAGATGTGTGGAAGAAGAGACAGCAAGTGAATGCGAGAAGATTGAAAGATGTGTGGAAGAAGAGACAGCAAGTGAATGCGAGAAGATTGAAAGATCTGTGGAAGAAGAGACAGCAAGTGAATGCGAGAAGATTGAAAGATCTGTGGAAGAAGAGACAGCAAGTGAATGCGAGAAGATTGAAAGATGTGTGGAAGAAGAGACAGCAAGTGAATGCGAGAAGATTGAAAGATCTGTGGAAGAAGAGACAGCAAGTGAATGCGAGAAGATTGAAAGATCTGTGGAAGAAGAGACAGCAAGTGAATGCGAGAAGATTGAAAGATGTGTGGAAGAAGAGACAGCAAGTGAATGCGAGAAGATTGAAAGATGTGTGGAAGAAGAGACAGCAAGTGAATGCGAGAAGATTGAAAGATCTGTGGAAGAAGAGACAGCAAGTGAATGCGAGAAGATTGAAAGATCTGTGGAAGAAGAGACAGCAAGTGAATGCGAGAAGATTGAAAGATCTGTGGAAGAAGAGACAGCAAGTGAATGCGAGAAGATTGAAAGATGTGTGGAAGAAGAGACAGCAAGTGAATGCGAGAAGATTGAAAGATGTGTGGAAGAAGAGACAGCAAGTGAATGCGAGAAGATTGAAAGATCTGTGGAAGAAGAGACAGCAAGTGAATGCGAGAAGATTGAAAGATCTGTGGAAGAAGAGACAGCAAGTGAATGCGAGAAGATTGAAAGATGTGTGGAAGAAGAGACAGCAAGTGAATGCGAGAAGATTGAAAGATGTGTGGAAGAAGAGACAGCAAGTGAATGCGAGAAGATTGAAAGATCTGTGGAAGAAGAGACAGCAAGTGAATGCGAGAAGATTGAAAGATCTGTGGAAGAAGAGACAGCAAGTGAATGCGAGAAGATTGAAAGATCTGTGGAAGAAGAGACAGCAAGTGAATGCGAGAAGATTGAAAGATCTGTGGAAGAAGAGACAGCAAGTGAATGCGAGAAGATTGAAAGATCTGTGGAAGAAGAGACAGCAAGTGAATGCGAGAAGATTGAAAGATCTGTGGAAGAAGAGACAGCAAGTGAATGCGAGAAGATTGAAAGATCTGTGGAAGAAGAGACAGCAAGTGAATGCGAGAAGATTGAAAGATCTGTGGAAGAAGAGGCAGCAAGTGAATGCGAGAAGATTCCAGAAAACCATTTGCGTTGAATTTAGAGGTGTCCGCACACAAACTGATGCTAGCTGTTGAAGATCACAGCTGATGGAGAGGCATGATCTAGTTGATACACTACTCTCTGATACTCCCTCTAGAAGGCTAATCAAAAGATGCATGCTTATTCCAGTAGAAGCTTATACTGTCTCTTCCTTCCCAAAGTCTTATAGGTTGCATTTTCTGTTAACCCTATTGAGACCATGTGCACCGTTGGTGGTCAGTGCATCTCCTTGGCAACCAGTGAGCCATGAAAGGTAGCCCACCTTGTCATTTTTTAAATCTAAAAGTATTGTTGTTTATGACTCCCTCTGTAGCTGGGCTATGTAACTAGCTGCCCGCGGATCAATGCCAGTTTTTGTTGTCTTTCTACGCTTGGGCTTGTGTGGCACCTGGCGATCCACATTTTCAGAATGTTGACCCATGAGTAAACTTGAATAGCCCTGCTATATAGGGTCAGTGATATATAAATTACTTCGTTGGTAATTTTTTCTCTCTTTCAAACCATTTTGTTTTTCAGCTGTTCTTGACGGGTATTTAATCTTTAATGATAATTTAGTATTTAATGAAAATTGAATTATTAGCCTCATTTTTAATTATTTGTTGTTTCGACTTATGCAGAATCTGATGAAGACGATGAGGAGGAAGACTAAAACGCAGACACTTTCTGCAGACATCAGATGCAACATGTTTACATATCTTCATTGTCAAGTGTGTGAATGCTCACATCTCATTGTCTCAATGGAAGCAAATGAAGGAATTCTTGTTACATCTCTTGTGTGTTTGTGTGTCTTTTTTTTGGGTTAAATATATTTGTTTTCTTTTCTTCTTTTACTAAATTTCACCTGAACTTATGGTAGATTTTTTTTTATACAGCTAAAGCTATATTTTAACAAACTGTATTATATACGCTTTTCATTATGTATTAACACAGCAGCATGTTGTATTATATTCTGGTAATTTTTCTTCACATCAGATTCTTTTCATTAATAAAAAATGTTTGTGGATTATGTTTGTTTGGGTATTTTCTTTTCTACTTTGCATGTTTCGCATGGTAAAATTCCTCAGCAAGTCCTTTACAGAACGTCGCTCTCCTCATGGCACGCCTGAAAGTATCCCTTAGCCAGCTCTCCAACCCCAGCTTTTAATTTCCAATGCATCTTCAATGTCCCGTATTCATCTTAGCAGATGTTGACCTCTGTGTCACCTTCTACAATTCGAAAACTAAAGTTACTGTGCCAGGAATTAAACCTATCACCTGCAAATGGCGACTCTCTGTGAAAACAAGTTCAAGTGTACTAAGAACAAGACCAACTAGGCACCCCTAAAAAAGGTGTCTTAATTGGCCATGTCTGTCAGAATTCATCTCAAACCATTGAAATGGCACCGTAGGTTGGATACATTTTATATTACCTAAGCATAGGTAAAATGAGCGGCGTCCGTGGCTAAGGCAGTGCGAGTCCTACTCGTGAGCCAGCATACCGCGATCGAAACCCACTGCAGGCTGCGTGGAAGTTTATCGTGGTATGGGACGTCGCAGGTCGACCCAGCCTAAAATGGGTACCAGGATGGGCTGTCCTGAGAAAGTAAAGACATCTGGCGTAATGCTGACCACATTACCCACAGAGTGCTGATGGTCTGTAAAAATATGGGACACTCTGCCCAAATGCCCGATGCGCAGAAAGGCGTGAAAAGGGATCTTTACTTTTTTTTTTTACTATAGGTAAAATGACAAATAACGTAGATTTGTGTACATATAAGGGTAACTAATGATGTGGACTATAAGCTAGACACAGCCATAAAACTAAGGCTATCTTCCGAATAATGATCCCAAATTATCGAGGCCGAAAATATAACAGGGCCTCAGACATGTGTCAACTGTGAGGCTAAACTAGATGACTGGGACTCACGAGCAAATCAAATGAAGGAAGCTGCAGAAAATGCGGTAGCTGCTGCTTGTGAGTCCTAGCTATCTAGTTTAGTCCCACGTGTCAATTGTGAGGCTAAATTAGATACTGGGTCTAACACACAACACCCCCCCCCCCCCCCAACCAAATTATCAATGGGGTTGACCTACAACCGGTAGTGTGTAAATGGGGAGACCATCGTAAAAATAATCATTGTTATCTAGTAGATTTATACCACTGCGGACTATTTATAAAGATATGTATAAAGAACACAGCCTCCAGGCTATGACGTCACTTATGACCTCTCCAGCATTTCCTAGAGCCTGTTGTGATTTATACACACATTGAACTACAGGTAATAATTGTGCAACATGTGTTATTGAATGAATGAACATTCTGAAGATAGAAAAATGGGCTATTATAAAATATTTATCTTCAAAATGTTCATTCATTCAATAACACAGGTTGCAAATAAATTGAACTATTTCAGTCTGTAAAAATCTACTGATAACAATTGTTACCACTGACCAGCCTCACAAAGATGGGAATTCCCGGGCATACTAAGAACAAACTGATGGAACAGAAGAAGAGAAAAATCAGAAATCCACAAAAACCGACACAAGACGATGGCCATATTATTGGAAAGAACCGGAAATTATTACAGTGGAACCTCGTTTAACGAGCATAATTTGTTCCAGAATAATATTCGTTAAGCGAAACACTTGTAATGCGAAACAATTTTAAGTTAATGTAAAATACGACAATGCGTTACATGTCGAAAAAAATACTTGTATAACGTTAAAATTATATACATATTGTTAAGGAGAGTGAATCATCTTCATCTTAAAAAATACTCACAAAATACTTGTAACGTTTATTCAAAGAAAATTATATACATATTGTTAAGGGAGTGAATCATCATCTTCATCTTTTCTTCAAGCGCGGAACGCACCCACCTGGAATGCAAATTCGATTTGCAGGAAAAAAAGTAATTATGATACAGCTAATTATTTTTTTTACTAGATGTGGAAGTGATTTTTCCAAAACTCTTTGAGAGTGAGGCTGGTCCCTTCAGTCACCTGAAAACAATGCTCGAAGAGTGCTAAAGTGTAGAGCTTCTTAAAGTTAGAAATAACTTGCTGGAGTAACGGAGTGGTGTCAGGAGGCAGAGCCTGCATCTTGATGAAGTAAAAAATTTCAGAGGGGGTCATCTTGTAGGCCTGGAGGATTCATGTACATATAACACAAGTCTGAGAAAATTTGTGATCAGAAGCGACACTACGATGCTACTGGAACGAGTGCTAAACACAGACTGATGTAACATGCCGGGATTTCCGCTTTCCTTGCCACTCGTTAAGCGAAACGTCGCTCGTTAAGCAGATCTTTCTTTTACAATTTGTTATGCAAATTACTCATTATGAGAGGTGCTCGTTAAGCGAGGTTCTACTGTATACTACGCCTTAGAACAGGGCGTAATCCACTGCGCAGCAACATTTACACACCAAGTATATGATTGGTTATTTCGCCGTGTCGACTGGGAACCGAAACAACAGATCACTTCTCCTAGACTGTCCCATATCAAGGCGAAAGGTCTGGCGCCAAGAAAAACCCCGGTAGTCAAGTGTGAATACTTACTGAGTTTGTGAGCTGATCCAGAGTTGGACGTGGCTGAGGCAAGTCGACCTAGCTTAAGAACATTTGAACAAAAAGACACAAATACATTTACCAAGAAATTTTAGGAGGAAGTAAAAGTGGGCGGTGTGAAAGTAGCTACATCACTCACACAGTGGGACGGATCTATCAAAATATGGGACCCAATCATAGGCTGAACATATTTCTGGTCATGGAAACAATATCCAGGAGATGGTCGAGTGACCCGATGCGGGGGATGAATGACAGAAGAGGGGTACCTTGTGTATTGTTGTTGAGAGTATTCTTCTTCTTCTTCGCGTTCACCAGCTGTACACTCCGGCGGAAAGTTCTGGTTGCTCGTCCACTACTGAACTGCAGTCCTGCTCCAGAACCTGAGTGTGCATCAGTTTTACAGATCTCATTCCCTTGAATACTGTTGGTTCCTTGCCTCTCCGGCAGATGCACTCCGACTTCAAAGGAAGCTCCCCAATTAGACTCTTACGACATGCTTTTGGGGAGGCAGTGGATCAATCTATTCTTGTTTTCCCCACAATGGGGCCCTGGAACCCACGGGGGTTTGGGAGTAGTATAGCAGTAGTCCTTATACAATGGCATCCTGTTCATCAACCCATCTGGGATATATATATATATATATATATAGAGAGAGAGAGAGAGGGGAAGAGTTCCCCCAGTTTCAATACTAGCTATTTATGCCTAAAAAATTACCTTTAGATATTTAATCTTGCATGTGTATTAAGTGTAATAAGACCGTTATTTCTGGAGACGACAGCAGGCCATAGTCTGCTGCACGGCCCTCTGCAGTACAAAAACCTAGTTGGCCTATAACTGCAGAATTTTAATAGCTCGAGTAGGACGTGGTCGTTCAAAAAGGTGAAAGGTTCAGTTCCCGGCACGGTAACTATAGCTTTCGATTTTTATGTTGTCTTGTGTTATCTTCTATCTTTCAACTCCTTTCTATGAGTTCCGATCAATACACTTTCTATTACTTGATTAATTCGTTCAAAAATGAAAGTTGGGAATTCCAAGAAAAACGGAAATACGTGGAACTATAAATAGTCTAGGTCAGTGCTATGAACTCCCGAGGTGTAAATAAAATGGCAGATGATCTAAAGTCTTAAACATCAATGCTGACCAAGTTTAGACAAACACACCAAATTGTTACATGTCCAGTTTATGATTGAAAACGTAAAATCTTCTTGCTGCCAAGAGACATCCTTTTAAGACAGCCCACTGTAATGGGCGTGGCAGATGACGGTACGTATGAGTTTAGCTATGCTGTTGTTATTTTTTACCTGTTGGTCTTCATAGTTTGCCACGCAGAGGCATTTTAAGTTCTTTTTAAATATCTCAAATCGTATGGTCATTCACAGACTTATAAATTGTTCGTTTAAAGATCGTCTTCATCGCACAACGGTTAGGACCATAAGGGCTTCGATCTCCTCCTGAATATGTCTCCAAAGACGTTATAAGTATTAATAATACTATTATGTATAAATAAATAACGCCCATCGACACAATTTGTTTCTGTCCTTGTTACTATATACTACTTTTACTACTCCGGCGTGATACTGACTACATCACCCACCGAATGCCGATTGGTTTTGGAAATATGGGTCTAGCCCTATATGCCCAATACGCCTGAAGACATGGCAAAGGTTCCAATACTTTTTTTTTACTAACATCAATTACTGCTGCTACTACTACTCTACTGCTACTACTACTACTACTCTACTGCTGCTACTACTACTACTCTACTGCTGCTGCTACTACTCTACTGCTGCTGCTACTACTACTCTACTGCTGCTGCTACTACTACTCTACTGCTGCTGCTACTACTACTCTACTGCTGCTGCTACTACTACTCTACTGCTGCTACTACTACTACTCTACTACTGCTGCTACTACTACTTTACTGCTGCTGCTACTACTACTCTACTGCTGCTGCTACTACTACTCTACTACTGCTGCTGCTACTCTACTGCTGCTGCTACTACTCTACTGCTGCTGCTCCTACTCTACTGCTGCTGCTCCTACTCTACTGCTGCTACTACTACTCTACTGCTGCTACTACATCTTTACTGCTGCTTCAACTA